CATAATCGTGATATATAAAATCATACAAGGAGAATGTACATGAATGTACATGGGTGGCAGTTGTTAACCTATGAGTGGCCATCTTTTTTCTGGCAGGAATTGAGTAGTTTTTGACAAATTTTGTCATTTTAATTCATGGAATATATAAGCGCAAATGCCAAAGGGAAAGGACCAAAAACTCTAAAGAACGCTATAAAGAAAAGAAAACTTGAAGTGTGAACCTGTCATGAAACGTTAAAAGAAATAATGTCTAACACCCTCCTTCACCCCTCCAACTGAGAACCAATAAGTTAATCAGATTTTCTTCATATTCATACACATGTTAGGGGTACTGAGTTCTACAGTTGAATAACATTTAGGGGCCATCTTGTTTTCTGGCAGTCATATTTGAGATTTTTCCAACAATCCTTTCATTGCCTTTCCACCTTACCCAGTCATCAACTTTTTTTCATAATAAAGATAACTTCATATTTACTTTACTAGGTGGTGTGATTTCATTCACTTCATGTGCCTTGTGTAACCTATAGATAACATTGCCACTTTAAACTATGTACTTCACTATCGATCTGATATTAATCAAGAGGATAAAGGAAGAGGTGCGATTATTGGCAAATATCCCTATGGTCAAAATGAATCATTCTTAGGTGTAACATGAAGAATAAAATGTCATATAATACTTTGGAAAATATTAAAGTGCTCGGGCACACATAAGCTGAGATAGGGATCATTTCGTTCAGTAAGGTTGTATTGACTTACATGGGGTTGTGCACCATTGACTTAACATGAGAATATCAGCAGATCCCAATAGAGGCCATTGGTTTCCATTGATTATCACAGAAATACCAAAAATACACTATGACCTGAATCGATTGCAAACTTAATAATTTCACAATATGACACAAATGGTTTATCTCATCAAATGTGCAAATATGAAGTTTGCAATCGATTCAGGTCATACTTAAAATTAAAAGATTATACATTTTTTCATCATTTTTTTCCCCTACAAAATGGCTATAGAAAAATGCTCCAAAAACAACTTTTACACTTATCAAATATCATACAACTTTGTAAAACCAAAGATTATACTATTATATTTCATTATGTAGTAACATATTTGAATAAGATGCAGGGATGCGTAGGATGCAAATGGATTTTGACAGACACAAAAATACTTCCTGGTTTGGAATCTATGCCTCTACACTTCATGATTGAATTATGACCCTAATAAGTGGCCTATACATCAATGCAGTGCTGAATATAGGTCAACAAGATACTAGTGTGCATATAAATGTAATAATTGAAGCAGAATACTCATTTTGAAAAATCAGATGAATTATTTTTTTCCCATGGGGAGATCACAATGGAGGGTGTATGAGGTCCTTTTCATTCATATATTCATACAATGAACTTCTTAAATTTACTGATATCTTATTGAGAAGCCACAGAGAGAAATATTGAATAATCCACATTTCTTTTTGTCCAGTTGAATTATCATCAAAATGCTAAAGGGAACATTGACCAGTGAAAGAGCACTGTACAAAATCCCTTAAATGAATCATCAACATGTAATATTCAGTACATTGCTAATAATATTTGTTTATTTGTATTTGTTTGATTGTACAAGTAACAATTTTTCCATATAGAAATGGGTTCTAGTTCTAGTTCTAGTTCTAGCTGATTTTGAAAAAGTTCCTAGAATTTTGTTTGTATATCACGAATCTTGCTAATATGACCTAGTCCATTCAGTGTACCAAAACACGACAACATTCATAGTAATGTCATGATTACAAAAGGAATGCCACCAAGCCATAGTAATGCATGTTCAGTCGTACCTTATCATAGTAATTCAAATGATTATTCAGATAACCAAAATGTAGCAGCTACCTTTTACTTGTACTCAAGATATGAGTACACAGTTTACCACATATTTGAGCAGTCAATCTCTTTATGAGGTAGCAATCTTAATACTTTTATGATAGTGTCAGTTCTAAGCAATGTAGATACAATGCATGACATGATTATGTAGTCTTACAAAAATAATTCATTACATCTTGTAGGACTTGTATGTGGTGCCATTTCTTTTCATTAATTTCCATACTCAAAGTGTTTTTTTGATGCTTGAGCAATCTCTCAAAATATAAATTTGTCGTTGATTTATTTTTATGATTATTCAATTGAAAAAGTAGAATTTTGCATCTTAACAACAGCACTTAATTTTCTAGTTTATATCCCTCCAATGCATGTATAGTTCGAATCAATTGAAAATGTGGTTAGATCATTGAAATGAATTGCTTTATAAAAATGTAAACAAATATATAGAATACACCATATATACATTCAACTTCTTCTAAGTGCTATACGAAAAACATAAAAATGAGTTAACAAAATTACCATGACTCATACAAATCAACCATCATAACATTAAATGAATCATTTGAAAATATGGATATTAAATATAGCAGTCCTCTTGTGAAAAGTATGTAAGTCAAAATGATTTACATAAAACAAAGATAAAAACATAATTTTGATAACTTGAGCTCATACAAATGCATATAGTCTTAAAATGTGCACTGACTATTTTATAGCCTCTTATAGCGATCAAATTTATCAAAAGGTTAATTGTTTTTCAAACTAGTGAACCAAAATACTTTTTGGTTCTTTTGCTTGACAATTATAAATGTTTAATATTTACACTTTTAAGAACATTAAATATGATGACTATTTATATGGCAGTTTATTTAAGAAAATGCAAACTATTAATAAATACATAACTTGCAGATCATTTATGATCTTGAATTGTGTTATTTATAATTAAATTTGAAGGTTTCAATATACTTTTGTTTATTTTAAGGATGACTGCTTCTGACCAAGCTGTCTTATGGAAACTAGGAATTACACCTGCTTATGGGTACATTCAGAGTAGAGCAGGAAAGACTGCCAAAGAAAGGGTCCTCGGAACATCAACCCAGCCATGCAAAAGAACAATAGTGAACATTGTCGGAGAGCCAAGACAAGGAAAGACCAGTCTGAAAAAACTATTAACACAATTACCATTTGATCCTGATGAGGCAAGCACTGTCTCCATTGAACAAGACTTGGTTGAAACATGCACTGTAGATTCAAAATGGACAATACTAGCCAACACCCATAACACTGCTGAGGAGTATAAGGAAATATTGAATGAACATGTCTATAAGCATTTGAGGTCAATGGACTGTGGAGTGTCAGAGAAAGTGAACTGCCTTCTGAAAGTTGCTTCATTGTTTGTCTTAGTTGTTTCATTGGTGTATTACTTTATCCACTTTAGTGACACATGGAATGAATTTCCTATTTTTCCTCTTGCAACTCTTTGCTCTTGCCTCATTGGATGGGTACTCCTTGGCATCAAAGATGGTCCGATTCTTGTAACCAGCATGTTGACAGGAATCATTTTCCTTGATTCTGTGATTTTACAACAGGTTGCCTTCCTACCTGACCAAGATGTTCTCTCATCTCAATGGAGTGTCATGCTAGCTTTACTACCAAATTTCATATTTGGTGCACTTACACCAACATTATTAAAGAGCTGTGGATCTCTTGTTTGTGCTGGGATTGCTGCAATGCTATTGTTAGCATCTCCCATAAGAGATACAACTATGCATACCTGGCATTCTCTGATTGGCTTAGTTCTTCTTCTGTTTCGTTGGTTCATTTCAAAATGGCTGCCCATCAAGTGCCAGATATTGATATATGCTATTCTTGGGCTTGGATTTTTCCATTTGAATGATAATCCAATCCCTATATTTTGTAGTTTCCTGGTATATGGAAGTTTTTGGTTCACCATACAACATCTTGGAAAAGCAGGTCAGATGAATATTGGACATAGATTATGGAAATTAGGAATAGCAAATCCTTATCGTAGATGGGTACTGTACTCAATTGGTATGGGAATGGGATTTCTCTTTACCAAATACATCAAGTGGAATTATGAAAGGACAAGTCTCATTCATTGTGTGCTTTCATTCATGCTGTTGCTACTCATTGAAGGTTGCTATATTTACACAGATACATATGCCAGCAGTAATGATTTGATGTCTTCGGGAGATGTCAGTAAGACAAGGATGTTTTTGGCATCAAAGCAAAGAAATGATATGAAGTTGGTAGTTCGTGACTTTGCTGGGCATAAGCTGTACCACTCTACACATCATGTGTTTATGACAGAACATGCCATCTATCTGATTGTGTTCAAATTGACAGATGCTCAAAATGACAAAGAAAAGATGATGCAAGATATTATCTATTGGTTCAATTCTGTTATGTTCCACACCAATCATAATGAGCCTTGTATCATATTGGTAGGAACTCACCGTGATCAACAATCACTCTCTGATGAGATCATTCTGGAGCTGAGTGATCATATTGAGAAGAGGTTACCACCAGAATACTTGAAACTCTTGTTCTGTAACAAGTCTAGAGAACACTTCATATTCCCAGTTGAGAATTCCTTAAGACAATCTGATGACATTGACCACGTGGCTTTACATGAAACTATCCAAGGTGCCTCAACAAGTAGACCATTCAGGAAGCATGCATGGCCAGTAAGATATTACGCCTTCTGGAAACTCTTGGAGGAATTAAGAAATGGGCGGGAAAATGATCATAATATAGACACTCGAAATATCATTGAATTGGAAACTCTTTATGAGAAATGCAAAGAAACTGAGTGCCAAATTGCAAACAAAGATCAGTTTAAAAGCCTGCTGAGATTTTTCCATGACATGGGAGAAATTGTGTATAAAGATATCCCAGGTTCTGATGGGTTGATAGTAATTGATCCAAGAGTACTCATTACATTGATGACAGTTATTATCACCCCTCATAAGGTATGTGAAGTTAAGCCAGCTTTGGTTGCAGCTTATAAGACACTTACTTCTAGGGGTTTTGCATCCGAAAGTCTACTTTTGCATCTGATCGCAAAAAAGTTTCCTGAAATGCCATGTAGTACAATGAAGCAGTTCCTGTCTCTATTAGATGAACTGAACTTGATATGTTCTATTTCACCTATGCCAAATCACAGTGAAACGGTTTACATTGTTCCACAACTTCTGCCAATAACTGACTTGGGTCACCAGGTATGGGTCCCAAAGCCCGTATCTCAGAACCATGAGTACTATATTGACTTCCAGCACTTTTATCCAGAGTCAATCTTCACAAGGTTGCTCTGTGTTTGTCTCAGGCATCAACTAGACTGCAATTATTTGTCACCAATCAAAGATGCAACAATATACAGACACCAGGCATGGTGCACATATGGGACAACACATGCATACCACTTGTGTCTTAGCAAGGACATGCGCTGTAAATGTATCAAAGTGACAATACGATGTGATGACAGTGAATCTCCCCTAAGGGTCTTAGAGTTCCTGCACCATAACCTGACTGCCATAACAAATGGTGATTTCCAGAAAGTGAAATACACAATTGGTCCTGCTTGTCCTGCCTGTAATGGAGAAAATGGGGAAACTGATGTAAGTATCTAAAATTGTCTCCAGATAAGAAAGTAGTATTTGGCCATATTTATATTTTTCTAAAATTTACTTTGTGAAATGACAGCATATACAGTAGTAACAAAAAGATGTAGAACATTTCATCTATTTTGATGTATAAATTGTGTTACAGGTGCATGTCCTTTCTCTTGCATCAGGGAATGATGTTGTCAGTGGAGCTTATAACCAGTTCTGGTGTCACGGGGTTCTGATAACCATCAATGAAGGAAAGGTATGTGAGATATATATTGTTTGTCACATCAAACCTAAGTAGATTGTCTTCAGTTTAATCAAAACGATCATTGTATCTGTAAAGGCATGATATTGACCTAGATAGAAAACACCTTGGCAAAGCTTAAGTGTAATTTATGGTAATAGGAAGATTAGATAGGAAATATTTGTCCAATCAGAATAGAACCTTGGAATAAAGAGGAAATGAAAATCCAAAATTCCATAAAGGGCCATAAATTTTCACTCACCAATCTGTCGAGTGTTATTTTTATTGTATTGTATTTTCACAGATATACAGGGTATCCGGAAAGTAAAGATACAAATGATCTAATTTCATTAGATTTACCTGTTGTGAGATGAAATTGCTACAGATTGTAGAATGACATTGTAACAATTTTTCCTGCCAATGTCATGACAAATTGTTTCAAAATAAAAAAGTTATGGTTGTTATGGTAGCAGGAGTTGCGGGTATGTGGAGCAGCGTCACAATTATGTTTTATAATTCTTTTTTCCTGTTCATATCATTTTGACACTCCGTCGTCTGTTGCTGTTATGCATCAAATTATGTACCACAACAGCAAAAGGACTGTAATATAATGTAATCATTTGACATTACTACTGTTATCCAGTATTATGTATTTTCCACCTTTATGTAAACATTCTTGGTGCATTTCGACTGGAGATTCAAGACCTGACAAAACCTTTGCTGTCAGTCTCTAAGATTGCTGATAACATTGGCTTCCATCCGAGTCTCATTTTTATGTTCAACTTCTCACAAATTGCTTTTAACATATTCATTAATGTAGAAGTCCAACGGGATATTATCAGGGAAATATGGGCCAAAAAATATGTACAAAAAGGTTAATGTCAAGACATTCAATTGTAAGATTTGTTTTCTTTGCTTTGTGCATTGGAGCATTGACTGTGGAGGTGGACTATTGACTTTCCTATTAATCCAGGGACCCTTTTTCTAAGCACTTATATACTCTTTTTCATTGATTATACTTTACTTTACTTTGATTTTACATTACATAGTTCTGATATGTATCAATGATATCGTTATACTAAAGAGAATACTATGGCAGCAAGAATACAATATTGAAAAAACAAAAAACTGATAAGAAATACAATAATAAACACTATTTCAAATGGCTATATTTTAGCAATTTATCACAATTTATCGATATCCTGGAACTGCTCCGCGTACCCCTCACCACCGTAACCATGACAACCGTAACTTTAACACATTTAGACTATATGTTATAAAAGTTGGTAGATGTATTGTAATGTAGTTCCTCTACAATCTGTAGTGATTTCATTACAAAAAAACTAAATCTCTTAAAATTAGAGTATTTGTATCTTTACTTTCCGGACACCCTGTATATCATGTAAATCTTGTACATGTTTTTTGATATATTGAAATCAGCATTCAAACAATTTTCCTGTAGTTAATATGGAGTTAAAGTTGATATGGACTTTTTCTCATGCAAAAGACAATGATGAAAAAATTAGAAAATGATTTATTTGTTAAATAAGGAAAGATTAATTTATTTCAATACTTTTAGATTAAGCCAGATGGTGAAACAGGTCAAATACCATCCAGTCCAATAAGAGAATCTAGAGGAGGCTCTTTCAATGGTAGCCCACTTCAGACCCTTGATGATGATACTCGCATCGAAAATTTACCTCACTCCCTATACAGGGAGATTCGTGATACTCTTAGAATACCATCTATTAGAGGAAGAGATTACAAAGGGCTTGCAGGTAAAAGAAACTCTTATTGCACAAATTATCACAAAGTAAGGAATGTAACTAATTTTTATAGAGATCTAGTAGTAGTTGAGTATCTGATTTACAGGGTGACCCAAAAATGCAACCCTCCATTTCTTCAATATTTTTCTTAAATGGAGGTAAATTGCTCTGAGATTTAGCACACAAGGACTTCATTCAATGTTGGATGAATGGAGGGTTGCATTTTTTGGGTCACCCTGTAAGTACTACTTTTTGTAGACTTTCCATTCACTGACTCTATTTGGTTTTTCATATTATCTTTAAATTTAAAAATTGTACAATGACCAGAACTCATCAGAATTTTAAGGTGATGATTTGTGTTCAAATGTGTTTAAAATAACAATTGAACCATGATTTCAGGTCTACTGGGCAAGACATTCCGTGAGGTTTCATTACTTGAACTGGAACCCAATCCCTGCGATGCCCTTTTTAAAGACTGGATAACATATGATGATGCTACACTTGGACACCTCATCAATCATATGAAAACATTGGAACACTATGATATCATTTCTGCTATTGATGAGTATAAGTCACAAATGTAAAAAAGTACTTGATATACATGAACTTACCTTATACTCAAGGGTACCTACTTAAGTCCCCTGTATATGACAAGTGTTGACTAATAAGCATGCCTGTTTACCTTTGAATTGAACTATTTTTTTTAATGAATTTCAATATGTTATCAGATTGATTAATTCCTATCTGCAAAATGTATGACAGCTAGCATGAATTCTTTGGGTAAAAATATGGTAATTTTGAAAAACTTGAATTAGTGCCAATGACTTGACATGATATAATATTTCATTCATTGCTTCGGTGTACATATTGTAATGCAGTAATCTGAATACCTCCCCCCCCATCTTGGTTATTTTATGACTTATTTTTATCAGTATTGCCAAATTTCATGCACTCACAAACACTCAAATGACACACGGAAGTTGATATAACATACCTAGTGAATAAAGTGAAGTGTTATTCTGCTCATGCAGCATGAATAAATATACTTGAAAAACATGATAAGTCAAGAAGTATTTTAGGGGTTAATCATCAATGATATAGATAATATCGATTAAAGATTAAATAAACCATCAGTTATGTTCATGTAAACAAAACATATACAATAAGCAAACTTTGGAAACTACTACTACTACAGTATGTAGAAAAGTAGAACTAATTACATTAGAATACCTTACCCAAAGCCCTGGGGATAACAGTTGTAACTATTAAGCTGTTGATTTGGGATAACCCACAGCAATCTTTAAGGTAAAATTAAAATGGTAAAATAGTTTTGTTTGTGTATATAAAGATATATTTATTGTAAATAAAACAAATGTTTTTTGACATGTACAGAAGAAATTAGGTATCTTTATTTTTGAATAAATGATTGTTTAAACAAAACCTCTCTGTTGATTTGTGTATATATGTATGTATGATTTTTTGTGAGAGATTCACTGACCTGGTACACTACAAATGCTGTAACTTTTGTTTTGCATTATTCCTCACTCATTTGTTTATGCTTTTTAAGATTATGTAAAATCTTTCAATGATCCAATAAATTCTATGGTTTTGATTGACATGGGCAGGCAAAGGGATAAAATGCAATAAATGAAGTAATTTCTAGTTTCTTTTTGTCCCTACATTTTTTTAAGTTGACTCAGTTAGAAAACCAAACTTGGTACATAGTATCACTAGTATGTTCAGTACAGATCTTATAATATATGCAGGTTGGTCCAGAAAGAGTGAAAAAATAAAGTTGTATCTAAAGTTTTTTGATCCGTGAAGAACTTCAACATTCACATTGCAGTGGTTATCCAGAGATGAGGCATGTCATTTGATGTCATGTAACTTCTACAAGATCTAAGACTGAGTAACTGTTATGATACCCACAAAACTTTACACTTTGCTCTCAAACATGTGACAATAATAGCCCATGATTGCGGGTAATAACTGAGATATATCATGTTGCAAGGGCTCACTTTTTGATCACCCTGTATGAAGATAACACCGGTGCTTGTAGGTAATTGAAATAATTTGCAGCAGTTGTCTTCGGGTACTCCAACAACTGTGAGAGCATGATGGCTCTGTAGTTGTTGATTGTCTTTATCTGGCCTCAAACCTGTCCTAATAGATCACAATTATTGTAACATAGAGCTGCATTTTTGGAATAATATCAAGGTTTTATCTAATTAAAACATTTTTTAAAAATTGGAAGAGCCATTATAACCTCAAGTTTATTGGATTCTCTTAAGGTGGACTTTTTACATGTTAATTTGCATAGCAACATTATGCACAAATGTGTCCAACTCTGCCCTCCTTAAGACATTAGAATAAAAATGTTTATGGTTTGATTTTATAGGCAACAGCTACAGGGCTTCAAGACTTTGCTTCTGAGTATCAACGTTATGTGAAGTATTCCAATAAGATATTACCATATCAGTTACTTAGGTAAGAAAAAAGTTTTTTTTTCAATTGTTAAAAATTTACATGGGTTTTTGTTTTGCTTAGAATGGTCATTGGTAATTTTTTGATCAAAATTTATTCATGCATACCTCATTGGTTTGTGAAAAGGCTTACTACACTTTTCAAAATTATGTACCTTAAATGTTGAAGCCTCGTACATCAGACTCTAAATAGAAGAAATAAATATACAGTTTGTATTGAACAGAGAGCATACAAATCAGTTAATGATTGTGTCGCTGGATAGAGATCAACCATATTTTAGTATTTTGATTGGCTAAATACATCAAACAGTATTTCTAACCATATGATGTTTGAACTCTTGTCTTGTTGTGAATTCCAAAAGGGAAATATTTTTGTTCTAGTATTGATGAGGAGTGTTCATTGTCGAGCTGTTCGACCACCCTGGAGGCCAAGAATAGGCTGCTCTACCAGTCTTTACAGGCTCTTCATGCCTCTCTTGATCATGTAGGAACATATGTCAGCCTAATAGCAGAGCAAAGTAAGTCTTTATTTCTTACTGTTATTTTGGACGGCCCTTGATTATATAAAGAAACAAGTTTTGCTTCTGTGTTTCCCCATTTTCTCTCAATTGGTCTTGTATGAAATCTGGAAAGTGTATTTATTTGCCCTTTTTTCCCATAGACGTGGAGGTTTTCATATTAGCAAAATTATCACTTATACCTTGGAGATGAAGAAAGGAAAAGATGAGAAAACTTATTTTGCCCAACAGTGATTAATGAATAAACACAAGGAGCACACGCGTCTCGAACTCGCAACCTCGTGGTTACGGCGCCCAATCGCCTAGCCTGAACGTGCCGGTGCTCAATCCCTCTTGGCCAAGTCAAGTTTCAATCCATTTCTTAAGTCCATTTCAAGTCCATGCCTGTACAGTATGTTTATGATTTGACAATATTTTTCAGGTAAAAAAGGTAGTGACCATCCAAGATGTAACCACAGTGCAATGTTCAGTAAGCTCTCCAGTGCAGTAACACACCTTCATGAGGTTATTAAAGGTACAGTACATATGAATATCAACCATGTACCACTGAATCAAAAAATCAAATACAATGTACATGATGTGAGCCTAAATAACAAATTTGATTTTTATGAATTTTAATTCAGAATGCAATGTATTAGATTAAATGGTATACATTCATATTTTATGTGTTCCAACTAAAATGGATTGAAGCCTGTATTATATACATGTTTATATAATTTTTCCAGATGTCTCAAAACATTACAATGCCAAAGTTACCCAAGAGCACCAGTTACCAACTGCCACTCAAAAGTTGAAGACGACAGATGAATGCGTCGTGTCGTCTCTTGTTTCATTGGTTGCATGCACTGGAAAGGTACGATAAAATGTTGAATTGTGTAGTTGCAAATCTAGAAAGTTACAATCACATATTCTTGATATTTAGGACAATGTAACTCTCATGCTTTATTGAAAGTTGAAACATGTTTGTGCTGAATTAGTAATTTCATTGAAAAAATGAAAGTGAAAGACACCCATATCCATAACATAGTTTTTTGTGAAGGATCATAAGGATCAATGCAACATTTTTTACTTAAATTCAACACATACTATAATGTTCCTCTGGATTTTTTTCTCAAGTGAGTGCATTCTCAAGATTTCAAGAAAGTTCAGTGCCCACTTGGTTTAATGCTGGGAAGAACACTGGGATATTTCAAAACAAAAGCATCTAGTATTCTTATATTTGTATTACATGCTTTTCTATATCATTTTTATCCAATGAGTTTGGCTACATGCCTAAGTTGGTCAGAGTATGCAAATTTTTCATGATTTTTCTCATTTTTAGTTGTTTCAAATTGGGGCTTCCGTAGAGTGTATACATTCCTTCAAAATCTCAAGTGCATCACCCACTTGCTCCAATGCTAGGAGATCACTGGATTATAAATTATGTTTTTCTGTTCCAGTTTTCCACATTCCTGACCAATAACATTGAGTTCTTCAGTGCTTCGGTTGGCTATAGGACCAGAGGAAGCAGCGTATCAACTGACCAATCAACAGACGGCCCAGCATGTAATCCAGCAGTATCAGGATTCCGTCAGAGGGCAGCTAATTATATAACATCTCTGAATAAGGTAAAAACTTAAATTTAGTTTACCTACTAGATATGTTTGTACACTCGTTTCTTATTTCATAATTCTGACCATAGTTCTATTTTTACGATTTTTATAATTTTCAAAGAGTGCAAATTTGTCCATAGTTGCAAGCTAAATGAGTGATGAAAGAAATATTAACATGTAATGCTTTCTTATTCAATAGTGTTTCACTGTTTTTGTAAAGCTAGAGCGTTTCTAACAGGAATTTTCTATTCTGATTCTTTAATGCTTATAAGTTATATGCTTTGAGTTAATCTAAGCTCTGAATGACCTTTTTGAGTTCCTTGATTTTCAGCCATGTCCAGACTCTGTCCCATACAAAGTGGCAATACAGAACCGAAGAACATTGTTTAGTTCCACTGAAAGCAGAGAGAGTCTGGCTCAACAGGTATGTAAGCGAACACCATGTTTCAGAAAAAGTCGGGCAATCTGGTAATTGAGCAAATAAGTACCATTGTAAGTTTATTTCAAATGAAAATAAATGTTATTTTTGCAATTTTTTGAAATCTGGTAGTTGAGTAATTACGTACCATTGTAAGTTTTTTTTCAAAGGTAAATAAATGCTATTTTTGCAATTTTTTGAAATCTGGTAGTTGAGTAATTACGTACCATTGTAAGTTTATTTCAAAGGAAAATAAATGCTATTTTTGCAATTTTTTTAAATCTGGTAGTTGAGTAATTAAGTACCATTGTAAGTTTATATCAAAGGAAAATAAATGCTATTTTTGCAATTTTTTGAAATCTGGTAGTTGAGTAATTACGTACCATTGTAAGTTTTTTTTCAAAGGTAAATAAATGCTATTTTTGCAATTTTTTGAAATCTGGTAGTTGAGTAATTAAGTACCATTGTAAGTTTATTTCAAAGGAAAATAAATGCTATTTTTGCAATTTTTTGAAATCTGGTAGTTGAGTAATTAAGTACCATTGTAAGTTTATTTCAAAGGAAAATAAATGTTATTTTTTGCAATTTTTTGAAATCTGGTAGTTGAGTAATTAAGTACCATTGTAAGTTTATTTCAAAGGAAAATAAATGCTATTTTTGCAATTTTTTGAAATCTGGTAATTGAGCAATTAAATACCATTGTAAGTTTATTTCAAAGGAAAATAAATGCTATTTTTGCAATGTTTGGAAATCTGGTAGTTGAGTAATTACGTACTATTGTAAGTTTTTTTCAAAGGAAAATAAATGCTATTTTTGCAATTTTTTGAAATCTGGTAGTTGAGTAATTACGTACCATTGTAAGTTTATTTCAAAGGAAAATAAATGCTATTTTTGCAATTTTTTGAAATCTGGTAGTTGAATAATTAAGTACCATTGTAAGTTTATTTCAAAGGAAAATAAATGCTATTTTTGCAATTTTTGAGCAATTGAGTGGTAGATCTTCAATACTAAAGTATCTTATTCACATTAGGACTTCTGCCTAGCATGGCCTGTTTTGGCTAAAATATTTAGCCTATAGAATCCCCCTCATCTATCTTTCAACACTTTGAGACAATTGAAAATTGCAATATCATATTCATTGTGCTCCATACTCATCGTGGCTCCTACTCTTGCTTTATTTCAAAGAAATCAGCTTTTTATGTCACCATCACAATTATAGTTATAATCTCCATCTTTTTGTGGATGGTGTTTGGCATCCAGTGGTTAGTGTTTGGTGGTCACCATTGTAACAAATGGCAGGTGGTGACATTTTGCATGTTTATGCCTTGTGAGCCAACTGAGTGATGCTGATATAAGTAAAACTAACATATATGTTTATGTTATAAAGGTTTATATAATATACTCTATCTGTGTGTTGTTAGGTTTCTGAGTTCCAAGATAAGGTTTCCCAAATCGAACAAGAGAAAGAACACTGGATGCTGGAGTCACAGCTACTAAAGATCAAACATGAAAAAGAGGTGGATAAAGTCGCTCAACTCGAACAGGATTATAAAAAACTTCAAGCTAGATTAACAGGTACTGTTGATTCAAAATTTCAGTTTTATCTTGATTTTGTTATTCCAGAAACTCTCGCATTTTTAATTTCAGATGTTATGGGTTAATGGAATCTGGAAATCTTTATTTTTACACCGTAATATGTGACTTTTGTGTCACCATTAAGAAATTATAGACACCATTTTTGTGACCTGTGTTTTATGGTTGGAGTTCAGCATTGATGATTGGCATCTGTAACGAATTGTTACATTTTTGTAACCATTTCGATGTAGTTACATTTTGTCATGTTAATGCTTCATTCATATTGTGAGAGAAAATGTTTGTTCAAGATAAAATATTTCATCATTTGGAAAATGCTATGCTGATGCAATGTATACCTTACTTGTTTCTCTATTTATAGGGTCTATAGAGGACAATTTGGATGTAATACCCGAGGCAGCCAAGTCTCCTGTCTCCCCTGGTGCTCCAATACAGATAGACACTTCCATGGTAAGTGGTTTATTGCCAATACCCCAAGTATAAAGTGTAGTTACAAACTTACTGCAGATGAGCCTCTTTTTGAGTCAATAGTTTAAAATTTGACGAGTGTAAAGTAACACCCATGAATTAATGACACTTCGTGAACTGCCATCTTTGTGGATAGTGTCCAATTATTGACAGTTGTGGTAGCCTAGCTACAAGCCCTTGTGCCCCCCCCCCATTACAACAAGTAGAGGGGGTCACAGAGGCTTATAGCTAGACTACAGTTAAATTTTAATTAAAATTTAAGTTAATTTTACAATGGTTTCCCATCTCCAAATAGGATGATCTTTCAAAATGTTGAGTTTTTGTTTTACTTGAATACAAAATCATCATTTACCCCTTCCCCTAATGAAAGTAATTTAATGCTTTGACCACCCTTATAACATCTTTCACTTTTCAGACTAGCATTACTCCTTGTACCGACAAAAGGCCGTCATCTCTAGCGATGAAATTTTGTTGACTGTTTTTTAGATCTATAATTCTAAAATCGTGATTATTGCTTTACAGCTAGGCCGACTTGACTCTGGACCAAGAGGTAGAAGTTCCACGTCTGATATGGACAGTCGAGAACAACTCATCAAAGACCATTTTACACAAAGAATACAACAACTCACCTCTCAGCTTCAAGTTGCAGATAGTAAAGCTGTTAATTTTTACGCAGAGGTAAGATGTTGATTTGAGGTTTACACGGGGGTAAAGCAGACCCGATGATGCAATGAGCTTGCTCGGCGGTATCATGACTGTGTAACGGGTCTTGATGTATAAGTGAGCTCGTCGGTAGGTTCAAACAACACGGATGCTCAAAGCATGTGCTCATGGTATCATCGTGGCTTAACACCCGTGTTTACTGTTAATGCCTGTTTTACAATAACTATCTGTACTAAAGTAACACCCATATTTTACAACAGGAAGTTGAAAACGCATTACACGCTGCTAAACGAGGAAAAGCACCAGGAATGGATCGTATACCAATGGAGGTTTTATTATCGGTACAGTCTAAGAGATTTTTCACGTCGTTCTTCAACTACTGTTTCAAATCTAGGATTACTCCATCAATGTGGAATAATTGCGTTAAAATACCCATCTCAAAAGGCTCAAGCACCATACCGAATGAACCGCTGACATATCGAGGGATTACTTTATCGTCAGCTGTGTGCAAATTATACTGCTGGATTTTAAACGACAGATTGTCATCGTTCTGGCTCGAACATGGTTTAATAGACGACGAACAAAATGGTTTTATGAGCGGCAAAAGTTGCATTGATCACATATATAGTTTGTCTTCTATTGTCGAAAATCGTATCAAGGGGGGCCAAAGCACGTTTATTTGCTACGTTGACGCGGAGAAGGCCTACGACAGGGTCGATCGAACGCTCTTATGGTGTAAACTTGCCCAACTTGGAGTTAACATCAACGGTGACTATATGGGTGCTCTTCGCGCTTTATATCGGGAAGTGAAGAGCTGCATCAATATCAATGGATTTTTCACGGATTATTTTCCTATTAACTATGGTTTAAAACAGGGGTGCCTCACATCTTGCCTTATGTTCAATATATATGTGAATGATTTATCCGACACCATTAAGTCATTGCACAAGGGTGTTATTGTTAACGGCGAGGAAATATCAATACTTCTATATGCCGACGATGTTGCGTTAATATCTAGCACAGAAGATGGAATTCAACGTATGCTTGATGAACTAAACATTTGGTGTAACAAATGGCGTCTTTCCGTAAATATTAAGAAAACGAACATTGTGCACTATCGACCGAGGCGTATTCCGAGAACTAATACCGTTTTTCGGTATATGGCCCACCAGATTACTGTTGTTGACCGGTATAAATACCTTGGTCTTTGGTTGAATGAGTTCATGGACTATTCCGAAATGGCCAAGTCTGTAGCAGCGGCAGGTAGCAGGGCACTAGGTTTACTAATAGCAAAGTACAAGTCTATGGGTGGCATACCATACGAATGCTATACTCAGTTGTATAATAGTTTAGTACGTCCTATTTTAGAATACGGCTCTGAGGTATGGGGCCTAAAAGAACATTCCTCAATTAATGCAGTTTTCCACCGTGCATGTCGAGTTTTCCTGGGACTTGGTAAATACGCACCTAATGCAGCAGTATCTGCCGAGATGGGTTGGACTGCACCCTACGTACGCCAAATTACGGTTGCCGTCAAATACCGGGACAGATGTCTTTCTTTGAACACGGATCGAATAACAAGACGCATTTTCGATTGGAATTTAACAGTGGGTGTATCACGTGCTAAGGCGAACTGGTTTTTTAACCTTAACAGGATCTTGACAGCGGATCTTGATTTGGGGTTCGATTCTCCATTGGAATCTGTCCTGCACACGCTGAAAACCATTCGATTAAATGCATGGAGAGCCAATTTGTGGAATGACAACCGCCGTGATCCAAACCAACGGAACAAACTTAGAACTTATAGAACGTTTAAAGACAACTGCGACTGCGAGCCCTATCTTAAATCTAGTCTATCACTATTGGATAGAAGGGCATTTGCATCTTTACGCTGTGGAGTCGCCCCAATCCGAATTGAAACGGGCAGATATGAACGCCTGGCTGTCCAAGATAGACATTGTGTGATTTGCAATGAAGAGGTCCCACTCGTAGAGGATGAACAGCATGTTATAATGGACTGTAGTGAATATGATGTGTTAAGGCGTGATATGTTGCATAAAGTGACATCTAAATTAACATTATTTCCAGAAAATCACGAAGAACAATTTAAAATACTTATGAGTGAGCCTGGAATCTACCTATACGTTGCCAGGGCCTGTGGCCAAATGCTCAGGACCAGGGAGCGGGTTCTATATAGATAAGACAGGTGTCTTATAGGCCGATGTCGGCCCGGGGTTCGTTTTAATTGATATTTTATGTATACTTTTACCCAAGACACTATAATAAATTTTACAATTACAATTACAATAATTACTAATAGACAATACTGCGATCATTAAACTTTTTAGTTTCCATTTGCATTCAAACGTCTTTGAATGCAACTGGTCCACAGTTACAGGGTGGTAAATAAAACAATGAAAGATGTATGTGGAACAGCTGTGTATGTGGAACAGCTTTGTAAGTGGAACAACTCTGTAAGTGGAACAGCTTTGTAAATGGAATCTTTGTAAGTTGAACAGATTTGTAAGTGGAACAGCTCTGTTAAGTGGAACACTTTCAAGTTATGTGAAATATCCTCCAATTTGAAAAGCATTCTTGTTGGGTACCATAGGCTTAGCATTTACATAGGTTTTACAAAGTTTATCAATAACTTATTTCTTTAATAAGATGGTGTTAAATTCACATTTCAATATGGAATTAAATTATTATAATAAAATTATATAAAAAGGGCCTTTTCTTTCTTGTGACAGTGACAAACAGGGAAAGGGGAGGGATGAAATTTTGTTCGATTATTAAAAGGATGAGAAGAAGCATAGTAAAGCAGTTGCAGATACAATGTTTCTACTACATAGATTATGGGTAAGATAAAATTCTGTAGTGTAAACTGTCAAGGGCTTTGCGATCCTGTAAAACGAGCAGATGTCTTTAATTACTTGAAGCAAAAACGCATAGATATATTATGTTTACAGGATATACATTCTTCAAAACAATCTGAAATGAAATTTGAACAAGATTGGGGAAGCAAGGCCTTTATCAGTTCATACAAAAGTAACAGCAGAGGGGTAGGCATTTTTATTAGGGAAAATCTCACATATAAAGTGTACAATAGTGATATTGATGCAAATGGTAATTTTGTAATTCTAGATATTCAGATAGAAGATAGGAGATTCTCATTGGTCTCACTTTATGGACCAAATACTGACTCGCCTGTCTTTTATACTGATCTCAAGGCAAGACTCGAAATTATTGAGAATGCTTCTATATTAGTTATGGGAGATTGGAATCTAGTTCTAGACACTGACCTGGATACTTTCAATTATAAGCACATTAATAATCCGAATTCAAGAAAAAAGGTTCTAGAGCTCTGTGAACAATTAGAATTATTTGACATTTGGAGAGAATTGAATCCGGAAGTGAAAAAATTCACTTGGCTGAGAAGGAAACCGCGACAAATGGCAAGACTTGACTTTATACTTGGAACAGAAGATTTCATTAATTTAACACATATATGTGATATATCATCTAGTTATCGGTCGGATCATAGTCCGATTCTTTTGATTATAAATAATGATTTGCCAGAAAGAGGGAATGGGTTTTGGAAATTCAATGTGTCTTTACTTAGGGATCCGGTGTATGTTACCATTGTAAAAAATTCCATTGAGAACATTAAAAATCAATACGAAATAAGAATCCCTGAGAATGACCAAATAGATTTTGACCTCTCAATAAATGATCAACTGTTTTTTGAGATGCTTAAACTAGAGATAAGAAGTCAAACTATTAAATATTCATCAGAAAAGAAAAAATTAAAAGAAAAGGTTCAACGTGATCTTGAAAATAAGGTCTTGGTTATAGAAAGGGAAATAGAAAATATTATTAATTCAGGTGATGCTCAGGATGACGATCAGAGAATCATTTTAGAAAAAAGATATGAAAATTTGGATAGCGTCAAACAAGAAATTAAAGAATATAGAGATATTTATGTAAAAGGTCTTATGACAAGGGCCCGAGTCGAGTGGTACGAATCAGGAGAAAGAGCTACGAAATATTTTAGTAGTCTCGAAAAGCGAAATTTTCTAAATAAACTTATATGCCAAGTAGAGGTAGATGGAGAACTTATTACTGATCCAAAAAAAATACTTCTGGAACAGAAAAAATTTTATGAACTCCTTTACAGCAGAAAAGTAAATTGTGCTGATGAAAATATAGACCTCTTCCTTAATGATAATAATATCAAATCACTAAACGAAGAACAAAAACAGTCTTGTGAGGGTATTTTAACGGAAAAAGAATTAATCTTTGAATTAAAAAATGCAAAAAATGGTAAATCCCCTGGATCAGACGGCTTTTCTGTAGACTTTTATAAATTCTTCTATAGGGATATTGGTAAGTACCTACTCAAATCTCTAAACGCGGCTTATACTTTAGGTGAACTATCAATCACACAGAAGCAAGGCGTTATTACTTGTTTACCAAAATTAAACAAAATTAGAAAATACTTTAAGAACTGGCGACCGATATCTTTATTGAATGCGGACTATAAACTTCTCTCATCAGCTTTAGCAACAAGGATGAAATCAGTTTTGCCACATATAATTTCCGTGGAACAGAAAGCATATTTAACGGGTCGAGAGATGGCTGAAAATACAAGACTTGTGTATGACGTTATGGACTATCTTAATAGAAACGAGCAAAAGGGTCTTTTACTTTTAGCAGATTTTGAGAAAGCCTTCGACAGTATCGAATGGGTCTACTTAGAAAAATGTCTAAAAAAATTCAATTTTGGAGATAGCTTCTTGAAATGGTTTAAGATTTTATACAATGGAAGCGAAAGTTGCGTAATAAACAACGGTTTCTTTTCAAGTTTTTTCAAATTAAAGAGAGGTTGCAGGCAGGGAGATTCGCTCTCTTGCTACGCATTCATCTTAGCTCTAGAGCCTTTATGTTCAAAAATTAAAAAAGATGTAGAAGTTAAAGGGGTCAAAATATTCGATAAAGAGATAAAGGTTGGCATGTATGCAGATGATACGTTTATCTTCCTAGATGGAACTCCGTCTTCCTTGAGACATTGTATGTACATTTTTGATAAGTTTCATGAAACATCAGGGTTAAAACTTAATAAAGAGAAAACATCAGCAATATGGTTAGGAAGTAAAAAAAACTCAGAAAAAATGTGTGAAGACATTCCACTCACATGGGAATCTAAGTTTAGGTTACTCGGGTTGAATTTAACATCAGATCTTCAAAATATTGAATCCATTAATTTTGAAAATAAAATTCAGGAAATGCAAACTGTAATAAGTAGATATAAAAAAAGAAACTTATCAATACTAGGAAAAATAACGGTTCTTAAATCATTTGTTTTGCCTAAAGTAGTACATTTATTTCTAGTGTTACCCAAATTGTCATGTGCAAATCATAAAAGAATAAAACAACTGTTTACTTCTTTTATATGGAATTCCACAGTAGCAAAAGTAAGCTTCTCACAATTAGTTCAAAATGTTGAAGATGGAGGTTTGAGAATGATTGAACCAACGCTCTTTGAACAATCCCTCAAACTTACATGGATGCAAAAACTTTTTAGAGATGGCTCTTGGCAAGAAACTGCTTTAAAAATCATCAATGTAAGATCAAGAAACGAGCTTTTTATGTATGATTCAAAATCAATTCAAAAAATTGAGGAAAAAATTTCGAATAATTTCTGGAGAGATTTTGTTCATGTTCTGAGAATTTACACACAACAGAAAGAAAAAGAAGCTGAACATAATACTAAACTGAGAGCTGAACAAGCTATGTGTAATACATGGGGGAAACATACCAAAAATCAAAATGTTCAATATATACTGCAAAATACAAAGGTTAACAATGAAGTAATTGTACTACAAGATGTATTTCATAATTCAAAAAGACTTCTAACGCTTTTAGAATTCAATGACAAATTCCACAGTAATATTAATTTTTTAGACTATTTGAGTCTAAAAAACACTATTCCAAAATCTTGGCTAAGAGACGTCATGGAGAATAATCAGAATATCACTGATTATGAAAGAAATAAAGCACACGTACAAAAGTTCCTTACTCAGTCAAAGATTAGTAAAATAATATACTGGGAATTTGTTCAGAATTTAGAAAAGAATTCAAAATATATAGAAGGATGGAATAAAGATCTGAATTTGTCACTCAATCAAAATGATTGGAAGAAGATAAATAAACTTAACAAACTGAGTAACTATGAACCTAAATTATCATCCTTCACTTATAAAGTCCTTCACAGATTTTTAGCAACTAATACATACCTAAAAATGTGTGGACTCGTAGAGTCAAACATTTGCACTTTTTGTAAAGCAAATCCTGAAACGATTTGCCATCTTCTGTATGAATGTACGATTGTAAGTGCCGTATTAAATGACATTAAACAATGGCTTCCTTTAGAGCTCACATTGCTATGCACTAAACAAAGTGTATTGATAGGACCTGAGAGTATAAATGAGAAGACAATCATCTTAAATAATATGCTATGTATTTTTAAAAGGTATGTTTATTTGTGCAAATATTCTATGCTAAAACCAACACTTAAAGGTTTTATAAGTAATGTGAAGGAATATTTTATTATGGACAAACGGGTTGGCAGAGGCGATAAGTGGAAAATCATGGAAACAAAATTAAACAAATGAAACTGATGATTTTTTCCTTTAAATAAAAAAATGCCAATGGTATAACGTCTCTTAAGACGAAATATTTAACCACTGTACTGTATTGTAAAATTGTTAAATGTAGGTTTACCATGTAACTGTACTGTAATTGTTTTTTGCAATTGCTTTAACATGCTTATTCTTTGAAATAAAAAAATTATAAAAAAAAAAAAAAAAAATTATTATAATTACTTTGTGCTATAATTTAGATATCACCATTATTATAATCATGGGGATAATATTTGCAAATCTACCCACAGGACAAAAAGCTATTTTAATGTCTAACTTGAAGCAGTATCTAAAGCTCTAATTTTTCTTCCAGTGTCGAGCCTTGCACAAAAGATTGAATATTGAAGAGAAGTCTAAGAAGAAATTACAGGAAGAAGCTAATGCTCACAGTCAGACCATCATTCAACTGAAGGTAAGTGTGAATCAACATGGGTAGGTAAAAGCGCATAATTTTGAGATAGGTGTGTAGTTTTTGAAGCAGTATGTGTATAGAATTTGACATAGATGTGTATAATTTAAAGGCAGAATCTGATCTATAGGGGGTGACAAAATTACAAGCAACATGTATAATTGACCTACCAATCTATTCCTTACACTATCAAATACAATATCTCCGAAAAGATTCACAATATGTTATAAATTGGTGAAGTTATTAATGATTCAAAGTGCAAAAATGGGTCAAAAATGTTTAAATTCTCCCAAATAATAAGAATGGTAACCATTCTTATAGAAAAATAGTACATTATTGTAAAAATCATAAATTTTCCTGGAATAAAGTATGCACTTTTGTGATTTTTAGAAAATAGACATGACAAGGAATGACATGAGCCAAAAATATTCTAAAACTGAAACAATTTTTTGTTTAGCCTGCTCGCTATATCTGATTCTCTCTTTAAGTAGATGTTCAGTATTACATTGAAAAACCTTCAATCATTCCATACGGATCATTTGACCTCAGAAAAAAAATTTCAGTCAAGTTCTAGAATAGAACACACAAATAATCTTGGAATTTTCTACTATTTCGTGGTCAGCTTCTTCATTCAAGTGAGCCACAATCTAGTGGCTGTTTAATCTATGTGGCTTGTAATCTCTTGGATATACTGGGGCATTTTTCATATCTATCTTAAATGCAATGTTTGGTGTACAATTGGGTTAAATTACTGAATATAGAAAAATAACACTCATTTCAATACATATTTTGTATACATGTGTATCTCATACTTGAGTCGGTTTGGGGTAGATATCACCCAGGAATATATATCATATCTGAGGAGTGGGCAGGATATATTGTATATGTCCCGCTCCAGACCAATTGCAGGCAGATATAATATATCCATCCCGCTCCCGGGAATTTTTCAAAGGTTAAAAAAATTTATATTTTATCTCCCCATGGTCCCTTCGGTCCCTCGGGAGATATAAAAATATTCCTCAGGATATACCCTATATCCAAAACCTCCCAGTACATAACCCTTATATATTCTGTGACTGGTATAGTTGTCATTCTGGATATTTTAGGAGTTAAATACAACTTGACCTATTTTGTTATTAGGAGGATTTGAATCTCAAAAATATACATTTATAACTTGTATTTTTAGGATGACCTACAGACAACTACAAAGAGCTATGAGTCGCAACTTAGTATGATGAGTGAACATCTAGCCGGGATGAATGAAAAGCTGGCCAATCAGAAAGATGAGATAGATTCTTTAAGGTTGCAACTTAACCAGAAGGTAATGGAGAGGTTGAACTAATTGGTATAGATACTGTATTTCTCACTATTTTAGCATTTTGGCTATTTTTTATATTGGTGATATTTCATCAGATATAAAAGATAAAATAATGATCTGAGAGAAATGTAATAATTCCATGAATAAATATATGCCAGATATTTTTGAAATCCCTCTTTGGGCCATTCCTAAGGAATTCACAAAACTATCATCATATCTTCTTCATATGTTGCCGTTATTGACTTTCTTCATATGTTTTTGTTTTTCAGCCTGTAAAGAAGGGCAAGAAAAAATAACACGATGAACTGAAGAAGGACTGAATAAATTGTTGAAAAAGTAATAAAATTATTCGCTATGGTCATGAAAATAGGAACAAAAATATAATAATGTATGACACTGATATAATATTCAGACTGTGTCTTAAAATCAGCTGCCACATTGCCAGTAGTGAACCTGAGTTGTCCTAAATCCATTCCTGTTGCCATGGAAACCATGATGTCATAATCAGAGCATCCGTATAGATTCATTATCAAGCTGAATCATTCCTCACTTCCAAGGTGGGGCGTATTGGATTGGCAAACTGGCCTTTTAAAGGAACATTAATTGACGCTATACCAAGCAATTTTACTTTATTTTGATTTCAAAAATATATTAACACATATACTCATATGTGTCTATTGTATGTGAACCTTATACTAATTGACCCATAATGATGAAATCCACTGAAAGCCATTGAATTGCAATTTCGGGAAACAACCGCCAGCTTGAGGCCATCTGTTATTTTCATCATACCCATAATCCTTTGCACATTAAAAGCAGACGTTTGATGACAATTCTACCTTCTTTGATCCTGATGTGCAAAGGGTTATGGTCAATTTAAAAATGGTGGATGGAAACATTTCTCAAGGTTGGGGTCAGTAACACATACCCTAAAGTTGTTTCAATCAAGAATCTGAAACAGTTGTGTTATTTAAAGTTATTTTCAAATTGGTTTCAATTACACAATATTCAAACTGATTTTCTAATTTTTGAACATAATGATGTGCAATAACAGAAGAAACTAATTTTGACTAACTGTAATGTGAATGTGACTGTTTGTATTTGATAATGTAATTACAGTATATTGAATAATTTAAAATAAAGGGAAGAAATATATTAAGAATACTTAAAAATTGTTTGTTACAGTACCTTGACTTTAGGGTCTTGTCCATCATTTTCATCATACAATAATTTTTTGGGATGCCCAGATACGTTCATATGACAGTAAGAACTTAAAAATTTTGATTTTGATATCGGCAACTCCCACAGTAGCACATCCAACCCAAAAAAAACATTTTCACCAAATCAGATGACAGAAATAACAAGGCAATTATTCACCAGGCATAATCTACACCAATGATGTGACATGACAAAATTGTAAATTCCTTCTCGATCAAGTAGCCTAGATGTCCTATGACTACCATACATGAGAGCTCTTCAAACGGGAGGTAGCTAAACTGAACTAAATTAAACGTTATCGTGTATTGGTATATTAGTCTTTATAACCTGAATAAAATCTGACAATTGGTAATGGAGTTACCAAAGGACATATCAAAAATTATTTCTCTAGCAGAGATGTTTTCTGGCCATATAAGGTATCAGACTTTCTGGAACCTCGTCAATCAACTATTTGAGCTATGGCCTTGACATACAAACGGACAGATGGCTTCTCTGTATCCCTGCAAACTTTGTTCCAATGGATAAAAATTATATCTTTTACATAGACTACATTTATATTAAAATAAATGCATCACAGGTGATGGTTGTGCTTTAGATTGTGATGTCCATGAGAATGAGGGAAGTGGGTCATTATTTTAATTCTGTTTCTTTGAGCCATCAATTGATGGAATAAAATGGTCGGTTTTCTTTTATAGACCAGTTGTTTTTCAGTATCTAGTTTATTTCTTCATCCAAGTTGTATCTTTTCTTCTTTGGGCATTGCACTAGATATTCACTGACCCATTGAAATGATAGATTTGCCCAATTCAAACCTTCACACATTTTTACAAAAGCAATCTCCTCAGTTTTGCCATCTTTAGTCCTTCCAGTAAAACAACATAAAACAAATTATTTATAAAGAGCCTCGGGGCATTTATTTGGCATATTTACATGTTATGGTAGGTTGGGGGTTAAACTTTGCCCTCCACCTTACTCCCCTCTACAAATAAATGAACTGGTCCATTACCATTTGTAACAATGAACACATTTCATGAAATAAAACCTTCACTCAACTTTACATTGTAATATTCCATAGAACCTGATCTGTAAAATACATCAATTAACAAAGGGGTAAAATACAATACCGCAGAATATGAGCATTATGACATGTGATTGGTCAATGTTCTTATAAAGCAATGATACCTTTGTTAAATAATGCAGTCAATGCAAGGGCGGGCTTTTTGTCAATGTGTTTTATTGCGTCTTTTTTTGCAGTAACCTAAATAGACAACTTTTAAATGTTTTAGAATTAGTTGTTCTAAAAATTTAATACAGTGATTGCTCACGAGTGATATCGCATCAATTCAACCGAGAGCATTTTATCCCAATGTTAACTCCATGTTTGATGGTACAGAGAACAGTATATAGGACTTATCTTGAAGTTTAAAACAGAGCAAATATTGACTGAAGTATAAAAATCTTGGCAAAACTGTCTCAATTTCTATTACACAATTTTTTCCTATTTCATGGACTACCACATATATTGTATTTTCTTTGTATATGTACTGTTGTTAAGGCAACCAGAAATTACATCATTCCAGTAATAGCAGAAATGAAATTGAAACTTGAAAATAAGGTCTTCATTAACAGTTTAAAAACCATTTTCAAACGCAAACATTCAAGGATCAATACAAATTGAAGATATAGTATGAAGAAAATATCACACCACAGGCCCGTAGCCAGGGGGGTCTGAGGTGTCTAGCCCCCTGGCTAAAAATTCTTTCAAAATAATGCAGGTTACATCATTTCAAGCACTTCAAAGTGAATTTGGGTCACAATTGTCAAGTTTCAACCCACCCCGAATTTTTTAAAACTCATCCGCCACTTGCTGGCTACAGGCCTGTATCATGCATTTTACACACAGGGGTGCATTACTGAAAAAATAATGCATGGAAATTTAACTCATTGTTCTGGCCATAGAAACATGACGTCTTTGGCTTATAGAACAATTATGAAGTTTCAATATACGTTCAGTAATACACCTCTGATTACAATTATATTTAACATTTGGTTCTAACATCTGTAGTTATTTTCAACATCTGTACTTCATTCAACACCTGTACTTCCTACTTGACCAGCTGTATTTCAACATCATTGCGTTTTTACAAAGCGTTTCCTGAATAATCATTTGAGCTTAAATATTTGACATTGCAATAAAGTGCAATATATATACATGTTTATGTATTGCTTTTTCAATATAACAAAGTGCAATTTATATTGCAATGAGATTACAATAAGGTGCAATACACATTGCCACTTTATCATTATGAAATGCAATAATATGCTGTCAAGTGCAACTTATATTGCAATGTCATTGGTTGTAGTGATATATAATAAGCTAAAATGCTGGATTTTATTTGTGCATAAATATTCATTTAGAAAGAATGTACAGCGACTTTACATACAATTTGCACTAAACCGGCCGGGGTTCGCAAGTTGCACGTTATGGTCTCCAGTCTGCTTGTTTACCAATAGATGGCTCTCTAGTCATATCCATTGCAACAAATAAATGTGAATGTTTTGAAATATGAAATTATTCAATTTCAGTTTTGAGGGAGTTTCCCGCATACTTTACATTTACAGTAACTTGAGAGCCATCTATTGGTTGATTGCTGAAACCGATTTAGGCAATCTGGTTTCGGGCCCCTTTTGGGAAAATAAATCTGTCAACTATGATAACTTTCAAATGATTCTTTCTCATGATTTCTACATCCAGAAATTTCAAAATTGATTTCTTTATTGCTTTTAATTCAATTCACTCCTACAAATCTTGTATTTTCTCTTCTTTCATAAATAGTAACATGTGTAAAATTGAATTTGAACGAAATCAAAATACACACCTCAACATATGTAGAAAAGAATGGTAAAATAAATTGCACTTGTGTTTGTATTATCTCATATTAAATTATACTCAAGTATAGAATCTTAGAAAAAAGTATCTCTAGCTGAACACAATCATACATAACATTGCACCAAATGTGGAAAATATGCACCAATATGAACAATATTGCATAATTTGTAAAGAACCACCAAAAACAATGTACATGTGGTCTTTCATGGAACTCATCAAACTTTCAAGCCAATCAGAACGCAAGAAATATTCAACCCTGATTTCTCATATCAGTGAATCAATAATAAAGTGCAAATATGTGTAGAAAAGTAAAATCTGAATCCAAAGGCAGTTAGAAGTAATTAAATTTACTTCCAACTTTGTCATTTCTGAGCAATGTATACATAAACCCGAACCTTGGAAGACTTTAACCACCAGGACAAAATTACCACGTAATGCTGTGCAATGAGATATGCGTTAAACATGGCATTTTTGTAAAGGTGAAAATGGTTGAATATTTCTTAGTTCTACAATGATCTATAGTTGGGAACAGATCATGACCTCAAATACAGTTTACAATTGTCACGATTTCAGGAGTCTGGGCAATGTTAACATTTTGAATGACATTAAAAACTCAATGTATCATATTATTACCGCTTATGTACAGTTTGAATGCCATAAAATGTTCAATTTTACCTAAAAGAACCCTGATATTTTTTATGACATATTTTAGAAGTACTGAACAGTTCCCAACACTAGAAATGTACGGCTAAATGTGACAGATAAAATTCCATTTTAATTCAGATCCAAAACTTGACATGGTACATAAACCAACAATAAATATATACACATACATATGCTATCGTCTCATATTGAATATATACAAATGTCCATATACGTGTTTTAGATGTGCTAAAGTTTATTTCAAATTAAAGTACTAATCTACAAATAAAAGCTGCTATCTGTTCTGTGTTAGTAATCTTTCATATCTATATACGTATATCTTGGGAAGATGTAGCATTATAAACGAATTCAGTTTTACCCCTACCTTTCTACAACTTTCACCGTTTAGAAAGCCTTTAAAGGCCAGGTTTCCCTGCCATATGGTTGAGTTCAGCCCACCTCATTAATAGCCATTAATGACTAGCCAATCGTGTGAAAGATCATCTTACCATATATGGCAAGATTAATTTATGCCAAAATGTTTACAAACACAAGCACATGTATCTAGAGGATTAAATCTTTCTCTGTCTTATTGGGGGAAACATCAAAATTAGTGTGTGAAATATTTTTGGAGGGATTTAATATAGGGTACAGAGTTAAATTTTGAAATGCAGATATGGTCCCTTCTATGCAGATTAGAAATCTTTAAAATTGACATCCCTGGCATTTCTCAAGGGACATATTATTCTTGGATCTGATGAGATCCACAGAGTGATTCAAAATTTGAATCTAGGGTTTCACTTGATCTTGTCAATTACTATTCATCATGTGAGCATTGAACTTTGAAAATGAGATTTTAATTGTAACTCACTTCAATGTTGCAGCATGATTTCCTTTGGTCTGTTAGAGATAGGCCAAATATAACTTAGGGAAGAACCCTTTAGCTATCATTCCTCACTAACTGAAGTATACCCTATGTATATATGTATATCTTACTAGATCAAATGCCCCCTCCCCTCACACTCTTGGTGTCAAGAGAAATCAAGTACTATTTGAATCAATTTTCTCAGTTTCACTGACACATATACAGCTAACTTGAACAGAACCAAAGTCTAACCAGAAAAAGAAATGGCAAGTGAACTTGAAGTGAACAAAATCAATTAGGAAAGTGAAAACAATAGTATAGTCGACAATCACAAAATTACACTGATGCAATTGTCATTTTTACGAAGAAAGTTACAAAATGTTCTGAATATGTTTCATGATAAGCGAATTTAGTTTGGAAATGATTGTGCAATATAAGGTGACAGATCTTACCACACTATACTGGAATGAAAATGTAGAAAGGGATTTACCAGTGTTCAGACTAAAGATGTTGCTCCTCGCAGGAAATTACAAAAAAATAATTTTGAAACTTAAAATATTTAAACATGGAATTAATCTGGGATTCTAATTTATGTGATTGTTTCATAATAATCTTGTAAACATTTCACCCAAATTCGCCCATGACATTGAATTTATAGCTAAAATTTTAACAAGTGGAAGTATACACACTATCAACCTGTATACAGCCGGGGATATATAATATGAAAAATACAAATCAAGTGGTAAGTTTTTACTTTAAATTTTTTAAACTTCTATGTTTTGCAAATAGCTGATTTCTTAGAATGATACAATGTGCTTGTGTTTGCAAATATCACATGACAAATTTATAGCATTCTCATTGGTCAGATATTTAAATCCCTGTCTTATGACTCCTCCCCTAAAACCAGTACATTTTAAAATAAAAATACTTAATTACACAAAATATAGTGTTATTTTGAATAAAATAAAGCAAGATATTAAATTGACATATGTTCATGCAAAACTGTGACAAAAAGTAGCAAGAACTGTTCAGTAGTTTTCAAGTTATGAGGGAAAAACAAAGTAAATCCTCTGCAGCTCTGATTTTCAAAATTATCAAATCATCATATGATGTAATTCCTAACTGCCACTGGCCTTTTATACCCGACCCTGGCCTTTAAAGTAATTTTGGGCCAAAATTTTTACAACCCCCTTGGAAACTTTGGAAAACCGAAACCCCTTGGCAAAAGCTGGATACGGGACTTGGCAGCTTCCCCTTACGTATATGAAGAATAAAATATCCCATAAAGAAAACATCCTAAAATTTAGTTTGTTGAATGAAATCCTAAAATCTTGTCGTGAAATAAAGTTCGCCCAGGGAACTTGTGGACTGACAACTCGGGAATTGCAAAACAGATGTTCAATTCATAACAGCCTTATAAAATATAATTCCTGTCATTTCTTCAAGAATAAAGATTTAGGGTATTTTACAACGGATTGTATATATCAGATTCCCAAACCTAAAGATTGCTCTAAACAGCACACTATATCACTATTAACATAAGCTACAAAAATATTCCTACATCTACAGTTTTGTGAACGTGTTCTGTTGAGAAAAATGTTTATAAATGACTTTCGTTAACATCGATATTCTAGTACTAACAAGATAGATATATCAAATTGATTTTTTTAATAACAAAAATAGACATTTATAAGATATTGGAAGACGTTAGAGTTATCTTTATAATACCACAATCTGTACAAATCCATATATGGTCATGCCTGCTACCATATAAGGCAAGTATGACCTCTGACCTGCTGTCCTAGCTAGTTATTGGCACTGAATGAGCCTATAGATGTCCCTCCATGTATCAGGATAATACTGTTGTCTAATTCTCCACTCAGCAAATTTATGTAACAGTACGATCATGATGGTCTTCTCTGCACATATTGTGTGTTCCATTTCTTTGGATTCTACACATGATCTTCATACCCTTATAAGCATCCCATTTCGTCGAACCCAACTTGCACTATGCAAATCACAGTAACCTATAATTTGCACAGAAAACCACATCATGAAAAATGGAATTTTAAAGATATCAAGTGAACAGGCTTGTTCTCTATACATATTCACATACTTTATAATTGTATGAAATTCCAAGACATCGAAGACACATATTTTTGTATTTCAAGATCGTATCTGCTGAGTGTTATTGGTCCTGATTGTTGCTCTAATTATACACACACGCCACCTATCTGTATTTCATTATTCCCGCTACATCAAACTACTGTACTTTTACGAGAACTTTTTGCACGTTAATTTTCCGTTGCACGATTTTAGAACACATACTACATTTGCACTGATTTAGCACTAAATCCATGATTTGGTTGAATCTTTCCTCGATTCCTACATTGCACCGACGCCTCCTTGCACATTTATGCCCCCATGCACATTTATGCCCCCTTGCACATTTATGCCTTCTTGCGCATTTAATGCCTCCTAGCACAGTTATCTTTGTTGTGCATTTACAATCCAAGATCCTGTTTACTGTGCATGTTGTTACGAACACTTCCATTTAAATGGTCTATATGTACAAAAACTTCATCCACCACAGATCTCTATACACCGTGACCACAGATTTGATACCTACGCTAACTTGCGCTAGTATGCACCAATCAGAAACCAAGCACCTCCGTGCAGGTGTGTATATCTCCATGGGTTTCTATTTCTTATCCATGAGTTTCTATTTCTTATCCATGGGTTTCTATTTCTTATCCATGGGTTTCTATTTCTTAATGAGGCTTGGAGTGTCTGATTGTACTGGAGAATTTGAGTCACTAGGGCTAATGGCACGTATTGGGACTACATTGGATGTATTGATCCCCGCTAGATTCAACAAAGCGTCTGCACCAAGTTTAACGTCCTCTTCCGCAGCTTCAGCTGGGGATGAGCATTTTTTCCGGATAAACCTCGAGAAATTTCCGGAATCGTTTAAAGTATTGTCATCTTCACACTCGCTCTCATCAAAATTTGATTCCTCACTCACGAAGCTGTCCACGCCATCACTTTGGTAACCATCAGCCGGACCAAAGTCGTATTCCTCATCTATTGAGGATGACCCGGAACCTGGGGAGGTGGGGGAGCGTATGAGATGCAGTGGAGAGGTGGCGCTGTAGGTGTGATCCTCGCTAGGTGACTCTGTGTACACGATAGGTTCTGTCAGCAAACGCTTCTGTACATGGGCCAGTTGTAGCTCCCTGAATGTAGAGAAGACAGTATTAAGTAAGATAAGGAAGACTTCACACGTCAAAAGACACACATTAGATCCTGTATAATCAAGAAATCTCAGCCACATAAAATTTCAGGTTTTTTATTTTATAAGGAATCAGGATAAGGAGAGATAAAAGATTTGAACCAAAGCATATCTTCATTAGAGAGCTGACTAGACATAGTCGTTTTACTGTACATTAAAAACACGGAAATGACATGGGTTCTGCTTTTTTGGGTCACTGTGTATTCAGTTATACAAAAATATATAGCAATATACACATCAGAGAGTAAATGAGGGATTCAAAAAGGTGTTTATACATACATTTTTCTCTTCAGTCGTCGCTTCTCACGGGCACTTCCAAACTCAGGAGGAGATGGTGACCTTGACCTTCTTACACGCTTGCCATTCACGAGAGCTAGAGGCTTCAAACGTGGATCTGAAAATATATCATGAAATTAAATTCCTTCTCATGACTCCAGGTGCAGAATCCATCCAGATTTCAAAATCAAATTGAGTGCACCACCCTTTTCTTTAGTGCAGTAAAGGTGCTATATAAGCCAGTATGTATTATTATCACTAAATTTATGTTTTATATTAATGCAAACCCATGTAGAGGTTTATGTACCGTACTGGATCGATACACATACTATAGCAGGGGTTTCATTAGCAGCAGGCAACAGGCGATTTTCACTGGTTGTTTCACAAAATTGCCTGTTGTTTTTAGGACTTTTCCATGTTTAAATTTATGATTTCCATTAATTCTGCCTGTTGTTTTCATTTATTTAGCCTGTTGTGAGAAATTCTAGTGAAACCCCTGCTATAATATGCATGGATATATACTAGTCTTCAAGAAATACGTAATAATTACATAATATGGAAGTTCCCTTATTTAATTATTTATCAATCAACAAATAACGACAAAAAGATTGCATAATCCACTCATTAATGGCCTTAAGGACTGTCAATAGATGGCGAAGTATATATAATACATGGGTTTATTTGTATATTTTAACAAGTAAAATATATTGAAGTTTGAAATATGTTTATAAATAATCTTGAGAAAAGTGTAATATTAATAAGATTTACTTTTTGAATGATATTAATATGACTTTTTGATCGGCCCTTGTAGGTAGTGCTTTTGAAGTTTTAATACAAAAATATTTACACAGCAAACCAATGGGACTGATGTGAAGAATAACCCACTGGAGACAATTAGTGAACTGGCATCTATACGAGTCCTGGCTCCCATAGGTGAATTTAAGAACCCCTAAATACGGGATTCAAACATAGATATTTACTAATACAGTGAACTTACTCCTAGATGGCCTACTGTTTGGAGAGCCTTTCATCTGCACAAGGGCACTGGCTGCATCAATGTCCGACACATCTGAAACGACAAGATTCACCATAAATTATTGAATACATATTTTCTTAACATTTCATATTACAAACAAGATACATTTGGCACTAACACTGACAAGGAATCTAATTATGACATGACGCAACATTGCATGATAAATAATAATAAAATTGGATTTTTAATATTACATATTATTTTATAACATGAGGACTGATATGTATTTAGTTGCATAGATGGAAAATTAAGATATATATATGATTTAAGAAACATGAGCGATTGATTGTAAAAATTATTTAGAAAATAGTTTAATACACTACATGGAATATAAATGCAATGGGCATCTTTTTGAAATAGGTTGAAAGTTAAAAATTATAGGCAATCTTCACTCTGATAAACGTTCATTCAAATAGTAGAATATTAAGACGATGCATACGAAAGATATAGAGAGATCATATCGCCCTACATATATGTGGTATATATTGACATGTGGCAACTACAATTGGCTTAGTATTGTTCAGAAATACACATATATCAAGCAGTTTTCCCGCATATTTGCACAGTTGCTACAATCATTGATCTATTGAAATATTTTATTGAATCCCATCCTCATAAACTGCTCACTCACATATAAAAATTAAAATGATCTTTTCATAAATAATAAACGTCATAAACAAGGAGAAATAGCATTCCATAGGCTTTGCTTTCATTGGCTATTGATTCTCACGATCTCAAATATGTCTGTTTTACAAAACGAGGTTCACTCTTGTGAAAATGCGAACTTAATTTAAGAACTAAGCTCTTAACTAATTAAAATGTGAGCTAGCTCAAAATTATGTGAGCTCTATTTGAATTGATGTGCTGTACTACCAATGTATCAAGCTCTAAATGATAAACACAAAACATGACGAAAAATTAGCTGTTTAATAGAAGTAACATTTAGTAGTGGTACAATACAGTACGAATCTATTGCCTTTGGATACTTATTGATTTCTATATAATATCCTTGGGCAGAATTAAAGAAGTCAACGTGTACTCCATCATAATGTTGCTTCAATTTGCTTAATGCATTACACAAAGCCGAAAATCCAAATTTCTTTATTCATAATGATGCACCAAGGGTGTATGTAATACGTGCAAGTGTCTAGCAAATGTATTTGTAAATTAACCTGTCTCATATCTAGCCTATCTAAACTACCTTGGATAAACCAAATGTAAAGATTAATTTTATTTCTAAATTATGTTTAGAAAAGGATCATGTACAAAGAAATCTATTTTCATTTTTTATTTTTAATCAATAGTGTACCAGCATGTGCATACACAGTAAAGCCAGGCTTTCAAGTAGGGTTCTGACACGATTTCAACATTTATGATTATTAATTGCGCTAGGATCGTTTAGTTTAGACGAGTCGTTACAATTACATACAAAAATGTCAAAGTGATCGCAAAGTTTAGTCACCATTAGAACATTTATAGAAATATGTCTTAATTTCAAACATCACTTAATCACTTAAAATGTTGTGTTTTGTAACAAATTGATATATTTATTGAATATATGAATTCAGATACATTTTTTATCAATTGAATAAAATGACATTCTCAAGAAATCAAAACATTGATAGAGATATACCGGATTTCAGTATATCACATTTTCAAATTGCTTTTTGTGAGAAATTTGAAGTATTACACTGATACAGTGTATTTTGCAAGAAATTGATAAGTTTTCGTTTCCGCCGGTGTGTTTAGCCTTCAGTAGAGGATTATGTATAATGCTCCGAGATTAGACGGGGATTTTTTGTTCCAAGAAATGCTACAGTTATTGACCTATTACAGTAAGATGAGGTGAAATTGTCATTAAAACATCACGACAGTGAGATCATAGTCATTAGCAAATATCATACTGCGAGTGATTTGTATCATCGCCATGGTAATGCTACAACAAAATCTCAACAGTCTTGGGAGATGATTAAAAATGGCGACCCACTCAAAGCTGATATCAAGCCTATCAGAATTAAATAAATCACACTTCTCCCATGATAAAAGCATCGAAAGATTCATGTTTTGTAATGAAAAATAGAGCAGAAAAGAGTGGAATTGGCAAAGAATAAAGTTTACAGGCATGTAGTTAACACTCTAAATTGTATAGATATGCAAGAAAATGAAGGTGTTTATTCAAATTTTAAAGAGAAAGATCATCATACAGACATGATCGGGGAAAATGTTTAGGGTTGGGCGTGTAATCAGCTCATACTTGTGTCTTGAGAGAACGTATCTGCTATAAATTAAATTAAAATCTATCTTGAATTGAGATATACTGGCCATTCACATGATTAATTATGCCACTGTATAAACATTACTAATTCTACCTTTTCTCCGTGGATTAGATAGACTTGTATCGCTGAAATGTATTTCGTGCCTTTATTTGTCATTGCCGTTTTGGTCAGATAACCTGATAACTAGTACAAGGTTGTTCATTTAATTGTTGCATATTGGGACAGTGCTTTGTTATCACCATGGTAACTACCATTTACACAATGTCATTGCAAAGCATGACGCAAAATGCCTCTGAAGTGATACTAAACTAAATAACATGTCCACATTTGGAGGTACATGGAAATATTGATGATACATTGAGTCAAATCAAATGATTTCAGCCTTAAATCAAGTATCCATTCACCCCCCATTCATTTCCTAACCAAGACTGCTTTAGAGAAAAGGAGTAAACTATGGGTATTGATTCGACTAAAATTATTTGAATTTGTGGTGAGATAAAATGCTGTTGATGTAAAAGTTATTGACATACGAAAATACACATTTTAACTGTAGTACTTTTAATGTTACAGAATTTATTTATAAACACACTGATAGAATCATCCTATGTTTGTTATAAAAAACAATCCAATCAAAATAATTTTTAGATATCTCAATGTCAAAGAGACAATTGAAGATTCAAAATTAATTCAAACATGTCAAATTTTGAAAGTCAAATCAGGTTTTCGTCATTGTATGCTAAAAGTTTATAAAACGCTTTGAAAGTTTTTTATGACCCCGAAAAAATACTCTTAAACTTTTACTAACCTATCCCATTCTACTGCTAAGTATGTCATTACAACCATACCAAAATATCTCACGATAAAACTTGATAGAACTTGAAGTACCGATCTTCTTAAAAGTTATCCATTGCATCAATTGAGACAATTATCCACATACATTATCCCTTACAAATTCGTCATTCAGTGCATAGATGTTACTGAGAAAACATGGACAATGAAATATTTTGTAAGAGAAAGCAATAAAAATTGTCTAGGCTATAAATTTTGCAAATGATAGCATCAAGTGAACAAAGAGTAGAGATTATGACCTAACTGTTTGGATCACCGAAACCACTCTAAACTACTCTTGTTAGGACGTTAGATTTTGAGCTGTTACGACTTAAATTTTTCTATAAAATGTCACCAATTTCAAGATAATGTTATAGATGATGGATAAAATTTTAAGTCGTAACAGCTCAAAATCTAACGTCCTAACAAGAAATGGATAAAAATTCACGTCTGATATATTTTCATGAAGAAGTGTATTGCGAGAAACAACAAACTATCAGAGTTTGAGCCAATTCACATATTTTATATCCCATAATTTTTGTCGGCATCACAAAACATGAACATGACATTTTGGAGGTCATAAAAGGAAAAAACTTTCATAATATTGAAAGCCCTCACGTTATAAGATAACACTATCAAAATACTATATTACTCAATAACAGATACGTTTCATTTTCGCCTGAGGATAAATACATGAGTAGGCACAATCAATAAAACTATTATGATCTAAGATTGTTAAACATACGTACACGTAAAGGTCAAGAGTTAGATAAGTTGTTTTTTGATTCACATTTATTTTTATGAAGTTTGGCTGAACTTGTACAAAATTATTAAAAGTTTCAAATGTTTACGGTAAAACCTGTTTAAAGCAAAAACTACTTGGAACAATTAGGTGTTCATTTCAAATAATGGCTTAACAGAGACATCTAAAATATGGGATTGAAGTGTTTATGGGATTGAAGAGTTCATGTGATTGAAAAGTGTTCATGGGATTGAAAAGTGTTCCTATCTGGAGGTGTTCACTGTAAGAGGTGTTCGCACACACAAATTCAGATTGACCAGAAACTGATCATGATGTGAACAAGTTGGCCTTATATGGGGTAGCAAATATACAAAAACTGGGCCAGATAATACAAAGCACTTTCCATGAGCTCGGTTTATTCAACATGCCCTTATATTACTTTGAGAGAGATTCGCTTAGATTGAAATTTACATTGTGGCTAGTTAAAGCAAACAGTTGATATTAACACTAAATTTTTTACATTAAGAGACATAAAACTGAGTGATGATATACTGCCTTAGTTCACCACATCCTTTTGTATTGCAGTTAAATCAAGATAGTTAATTTTTGCAATGGAAATATTCATACTAGAAACAATTCACAAAATGGGAGGAAATGATTTCATATAACCCTGAAGTGCCATTACAATAAAAATTCAAAAAATATTTTTTAAGAATTTGTTAAATGGAAAATCTGTGGTATGTGAAACATTTATAAAAGTAAAAGTTGAAGGACCCTTTAAGTACTGTATGTGGTCCCACCCCTTTCTATTTAGCATAAAATACATTAAAAACACAGCATTTTATTCGTTTCCCATAAATCTCTAACCAGAACCCTGCTTAAAAATCATCATTATTCTTATAATAAAAAAAATTGCCATACATGAGATTCCCGGGGATTTTTATTTCTTTCATATATGGGCGCTTATAAGAATGGTCTGAAGGATATATTTTTTACCCTGGACGCTAATTACAGAGAATACCGAATATGTATATTCAAAAACATCAAATTAACAAAGAAAAATCGGGACATATCTGGCGTGAAAAATTTCCCCGAGCAATTGTTACTTATCCGGTAAAATCATCTCCAAGCGGGTAACGACTCTAATGTGTTATGATAGGACTTATTACATGCTTACAATAGGATTACACCGGGATTAATATCAAAGGATAATATTGATATAATGAGCTAGCCTTAATGACTCCTCACAGGTGCGGATTACCAGGCATTACCTAGAGTCTATTGTATAATTCAGCGCAAGGTCTTCTCAAGTATTGTTTGCTTCCATTTTGATATTCCAAATAAGTTTATTATAAGGTCTCAGCATTTTTATCTCAAACTTACAATTAGGCCTCACCCACCCAAGTTTTGTGCCCCACCAAGCCTCCTCTACAAAAGCCTCATCCAGGCCCCTTCTAACTGAGCCTTACCCCCCCCCCCCCATCTAAGCCTCCCACACAATCTGGGTCCACCTAAACGATACTCACCAGTAAATGACTTGCTAGATGACTGAGCCAATCTCTTGCTGAGAAATGGGAACAGATCTAGAAAGGAAAAATGTGAAAATGTGAATCAAAAAAAACAGAAAATGTGACAGAAAAATAATACATAAGTGAAAAGCTCTCACTATTCATCAATGGATGATTTGGATAGGTCAGGCAAGAAGTAAGAAACACTGAGCCATGTCCTTTTTTCTAAATCACACATTAGAGGAATTTAGTTTTTAAACCATATATCTTAAAACTATGTTAGCACGTGTTATATCTAAGTGAACGTCGTCTAATTATATAACTCAGTTATTTGTAAATAAGTATTCTGATTTATCAAAGTAATTCTTTAACTAATGCTTAAGAAGCTGACTACTCCAAGGGATAACACCATCTTACAATGGTACATAATACAGTCTGTGAATCTTACAATGGTATATGAATGTCACAAGCTATTGGCTTTAACCATTTTAGGATCACTTTGCAGAATTTTGCATGGTTCCATCTGGTTTAGTCTTGCTCCAAGCCCTAATGACCAGGATAAATTTGCAGAATTTTGCATGATTACATCTGGTTAAGTCTTGCTCCAAGCCCTAATGACCAAGCCCATATGCACCTCACATCAATCACAAAAAGTGAAGTGAATAAAACAGAGATTTAGAGACTTAATGCAAGGCTACACCCTGTTAAGACTGGGATAATGTAGTCAGAATATAACATACAAAACAAGGTTTGAATCCTATGAGTTAAATTACAACATAAAACAACAACAACAACAACAACAAGACACATTAAAGTGTTGTAAATAATACTCACGGGGAGATGGTGTGTTATGGTTAAACTGCTGTGTGGTCAATGTGAGGGGCCGTCTTGCACTGAAAATAGAAAACACGAAAGATACAAATAGATTGTTAAACAATACAGTGTTCTCCCCAGGATTCTTTTCAAGTGGGTACATATCAAAATATGGAAAATGGAAGGCAAGAAATTCCAAATAACAGCCAAAAATTCCTGTTATGAATCTAAATTAAAGGGTAGGGTAGGGATGAATTGCAAAGTACATGATGTAGTATCAATGAAGACAAAATCAAGAAAAATAGAAGCTATGGAAAAAACCTTTACAAATACATTGTAACAACCAAAAATGCATGCTCTAAATCTTGAAGATCACAACACAAACTTCACAGTTAAAACATATTGGCTGGTTACACAGCAGAGGCCAACTAAATAGCAGAGTATGGATTGTGTTTTTGCATCAAGTATCATGCAGCTAGTTCGGTAACCATGGCAACCCTAATAATATTATTTGCCGGGATAAGGCCGCATGTATTCCCTATTTCTGTTATATTCATTTATTGGGGAATGTGTCATCCCAGAGAGCTAGGATGAATTGATTTAGGGAGTTTCTATTGAATGCAAGTTACAGTTCATTGAAATTATCGTACAGTTTGCTAAATACATAGTTACAGTTCATTGAAGACAATTTACAGTTCTTTGAAAAAATCATACAGTTCGCTGAATAGAGTTCCAAATCATTGAAAATATGTTAAGGTATATTAAATAAAATTAGCAGAACAGCAACATATAACCATTAGTAATGTGTAAAGATGGTTTCCATTCATTGTATTCAATTCTTCACATTTTAAGGAGTTCACTTCAATTTGTTTGTTAAGAAAAACCTAATGACAATAACAAACAAATAACTGAAACACTGAAATAAAACATTTCCGAATGATATAAAAATTCAATTCAGACATTTAAGACAAATGTGAAAACATGTAAAACTTCCATCTGAACATAGCATAGAAGAGATAAGAGAATATATTGATTCCCACATATCGCAAAATGTCCGCATTTATTCACGTTATCATGAAAAATTGAAAAAAATTGTGAATAAAAATTGTCATTTTCTATATGAAAATACAATATACAATAATGACAAATGCGTAGTTTCACATTTTCTCATTTCAAATAAGAACACAAAATATTTTAAAGAAATATGCGGAATAGACTATGTAGAAGCTTATACTACAAGAACAAACTACTTCTGGCAATTTGTTTCCAGTGATGATTATAGCACTTTTATTTCTAGGCTGTCTCCATGGAAATGACAAACTTAATGCATCCTTATTAAATGAAATTAATTGACAAACTGCAACTGAATAGTAATTAACGCAACATGTTCTGTAAATGTAGAGTCAGCTCATTATTTTTTGTTCGTGTCGATTTTCATCGTTTTGAAAATATATTCAAACAGTGCATGTTTCAAGTACAGTAGTTATATAACTAAAGTCATGTTTTCTTCTTCATCAATACATAGAAAATTGGTTTGCGGAAAAAGGCAGATGAGTATCTATAAATTGGAGATAAATATTACATTGTCTACTCTACTGTCTTGACGATATGTCCTTAGTAATAAGGATATATTTATGTTTGATACAAATATATAAAAGTGTGTTAAGACATGATATCCGCTGTGTTATTTAGTGATAACAGTCGACTCATTAATTACCCAGATATCCCAGATATCGCCATTAGAGTCACTATTATCAAATCTATATAGATGTTTATGAACGAGAATATAGTGGTACTCTATACCAGCCAAGCTACTTCATCATTTTTATTTTAATGCCAATTTGATACGTAGGAAATTGAGATCAATTAAGAGTTACATGCATGAACGCTATTTTTAAATGAATGGGAAACGGAGTTAAGGTCCCGTAATCGAAACTCGTTTCACATTATTACAGGTCCTACAAAAGAATACTCTGTAATAGAAAATACATTGTTATATCAACTTAATTTATAAAGAAGAATGCGATTGAGGTTTTTAAGAAGTGTTGTGTCATCACCATGACAATGAATATCTAACTTGCCCACCCGCATGCGTTACCAGCAGCAAAACACAATGGCAACATAGAATTCTTTAAGTATGGTGCAAATAAATTGAAAGGCGCATTATAGAATAAAGTCGTACTGAATCATAACTGCCCGAAGTGTTTCCGATAATAACAAACTCTACATTACGCAAACATCAGGTAGAACAATTGCTTATTTAACTTCATACACAATATCGGGATCTATCTACATAACTGGTATAATAACTAAGTACAACCCTTAAAGAAAATCTCAACACTCTACTATTGTATGTATATATTTATTGCCCTTTATATAAAGGAGATACATGTATACAAATTATGTAAATGTTAAATTGAAAAATTTATATTATATTTAACTAAGCCTTGGATTTGACATTTTGAATCTTCATTCTACAAGATAATTTAATCTTTTGATGTGCATTATTCTCTTGAGAATGAAATTCAAATCTTGTGGTCTTCCATATATCCCCCTCAGACTCTCAATTGGTCTGTAAGCTCTAAGCAATAAAGTGAATTGAAATCTGATCTTGGAAAGGCGCTCATTAATCCAAAAAATCAAAAGGTCATGGATATGTTATGTCATTTCTCTTTAAAATTTGAATAAACATTCTGATATTTTTACATTTGTAGACAATTTAGAGTATTAACTACATATCTGTGTCCTTTATTCCTTGCTAATTCCACTCTTTCTCACCATATTTTCCATTTCAAAACAATACCCCCCATGATATTTTCCGGCTAAATCTGAGTGTGAACAGTTACAGCTGAATAGCAGATTGCAAACAAATCTCTTGATATATTGTTTGCCATTTGGCTTGTTTATTGATTATAGACTTAGTCACTTGATTCTTAGACTGAACAGATTGAGAGAATAAACAGAAAACGACAATAGAGCCATTGATGCTAAATGACAATCTTGAGCCACCGATTCTATGTAAGCATATTATTGTTTCAATTTTGACTCATTTCCGATTTTAAGTGATTTTTATAATTTGACTGTCCATGCAATCAAGAATGCTTTAAGGGATTTCAGTCATTTCGATAGCGATATACACGTAGATGTATACATGTCAGAAAATACATGACAAAAAACAGATATCAGGTATTTGATTGACCCATATGTTATTACTAATAACAAAATCTACTCTAGTAAATTAATTCTCAAAAGTGACACTTTTTAACTCAATCCAGTAATAACATTTGCAAAATAGGATGCGTTTTATTATTATAAATAGCTGTATTATATCATAATCATCATATAAGAGCAAAAAATGATCCTTTTTGATCTGATTACCTTGTGTATGATTTATGCTATCATTAGGTATACAAATTATGCACTATCACCCATGAACCAGAAAACATTAAAACCTCAGCTCATCACCATCAATAAATATCAGATCCCTATTTGTAATCAGTTTGCAGGTAATATGACGTTCCGTTTGATACTTCATAATGCTATTTTACTTCATTTCTCTCAAAAATTTGATTAAAGTGTCTCAGTTTTTGGCACTTTTATATAATTTGGAGAGTAGAGTATATGTTTTTATATTTCATTCCCTGCTGATTCCACTCTTTTTTACAATATTTTGCATTGAAAAACATGACCATCTGCACCATTTTCAGATCTGATTACCCCTTTATAATACATGAACTTGCTATATGCTTCATCATTCTTTCTATAAATGGATTACCAGGACTTGATTAAATTCAATTGGGGGTTTAGAGCAGCTGAATATTGCCACACGTCTGCCATCCTGTGTTGTTACATCACTATAGCAACGGAAAAACAATCCCAGCTGCCACACGACCAGAATGAGGCTTGAAACCACTGTATCAATAGGCTAATTGGCAAAGGTTCGCTTTATCTCAATTGTAATCTACTTGGTAATTTTCACAAGATAAAAGACTAAAAAATGAGTCAATACTCCTTTGATTCTGTATTTGTATTAAAGATACTTTTCAAGCTAGTCTCAACTGACCACAAATCCGACAAGATTTAGCCGTCGGCACATCGCATTGTTGTGTGGAAATACTGATCAGCCAATTCATTAAATTGTCCATTTATTAATTAAATTGCTATAAATATCAGGTGAAAACTGTTATTATCAGACAGAATAAATATCTGCGAATCACCTATAGCTAATATAAGGACAATGGCAAATAACAGAACAAACTGTTTTATATAAAGTATGGTATGTAGAGAGCATTCCATGCCCCTTCACTAAATCAGGTATCTGCAGAGGAATAATGAAAATTTCCACAAAAGCATCATAACATGTTTTTTATGTTTTTGACGCCAGTTAAAAAGGTAACTTTTACAATACAGTACAAAAATATATTCAAACCTTGTAATTGACCACTTTAATGTTTCCCTCGAAAATGTGTTAGAGGATTTCCTGATTTATTCACTAACATTTTCTTGGAATTATTCACGAGACTGACAAAAAATAATATTTGAATACTTACCCGACAAGGTTGTATATAGGAGAGGGTTGAGGATTGGCAAGCATTTGCATCTGATGATAGGGATGATAAGGGGTCTTCCTGAGAGCCTGTAGTAGGTTGGGTCTGTAGTCTGGGTCTATACACCAAAGGGAACCCTTCCCGATACTCTGAAAAATACAATAACAGACATTATATGATTGGAATCTATATTAAATGATATAGTTATATGTATTGTGCATTTGCAGTTCAGTTATATGGCAACATCAAGTTTAATAGGCATAAGCAACAAGTTTTAGTAAACATCATTACATAGGACAGGTCTGGGGGACAGGCCACAGGTCTGCCCATATGGGTGAGCAACTTTGCCCATATCAAGTAAAATAATGAGGGAATCTGTGGTTTTATGTATCACAACATTATGATATCTATCTCCTTTCTTAAAACAATCAATCATAATGTTATCATTAGGATTATAAGTGTTGTCACGCACATCAATATCCCTCAAGAAAGTTTCAGTTTCTCAAATGTGGAACATCACAGAAAATGGCATAAGACGTATCATTAAGGATATTCTTACATCTTTTATACTACATTTGTACTGCATTATGAGAAAGAGACAGAAATATGAAAAAATACAAAGATCTATTAATTTGTAAAGTACAAAAAGACATTGAAGATTTTATTCTTTACATTCAATTATTTTCTGAATAAGATGGCTTAGCAAAAACGAACAAATTAATAGCTCTAGGTTGATATTGTGTCATTATTTTATACTGGTATTAGACGAGCTAATCAACAATTAACTGACAACGCTATTTATAGGCTCATCATTCCTGGAATGAGTTTTCCTGAAAGCAATTCATAATGATCTCTTTTAGTACTTCGTGTATTTTGTCATCTTGACATGGCTAAGAAAATACAATATACAATGTTCTCTCGTTATTAAGTATTGTATTGTTCTGTTATTGTATCATAGCCCCGGTCATTCTGATAGGCGTCACATCTTTCTGTTTACGAGCAACTTTTTAGAGCTGAGACAAAAATCACGAGCAAACATGTTTTAGGATGTTTTGGGACTAGTTGAGTCTATCAATGACAACAAGGCATTAACATGCGAAATGACACTACCTGCCATTTGTTACAGATGCTGGACTCCAAATGCTGACCGCTAGATGCCGAACACCATTCACAAAAAAGTTGGAATCTCTGACAATATCTCATCACTGGAGAGATTTTCAACTTTTGTACAAATACTCTAATGAATGGCTATATATACAGAGAACATTTTTCATGACCCCAAAGTTATCATGGCCCAAAAGGTTTTCAATATAGAAGTACTTAAATGACAGGAAACATATATCCTATTTTTATGATTTATGCTACAAATTTTCAATCCTACAAAGATAAATTATATTTCTGTCAGTAAGGACCGGAACTGATTAGTAAAGGTTGAACGCAACCATATCAACAAATTGCCTTGCTCTTGAAACAACTGCCGATTCCCTATTGTTTAACACACACTTCACATAACAGTCAAGTACCTTATCTTACAAATACTCCACAACAAACTTGTATTCCTTACTTATTCAGCAAGAAAAACAGATTTAGTACCAATTAAATATAATTAAATTATAATCAACAAGACAAACACCGACTAAAATTCACAGCATTGATTCTTAATGTCCCTGGGGGAGGAACAAGCACCCTGACCTCCCTTGATACCCACAGGAAACATAGCGCTAGGGTAGTTCTTATTTATTGCTATAAAACATGTTTTCTCCATAAAACACACAAGTAACAGTGTTTCCTCATAAAACATGGTATTCAATCATTAAGGCGTTGATTCCCCCTTGTTATATTCTCTATTTGTAAAATGTCCAAACATTCAATGCTACTCAACAAATACACATGTATCTTTATCAAAACTTAATTGGACTGGCAGAATTTATGTGAATGCCGCCAAACATCTGAGGGATTAAATAACCAAGGTGAAGTATCGGAGAATGCTGTAAGTCAAAGGTGGATTAAGACTGATGTTCGCTTTTAAACAAAATATAAATTTCAGTGAATAAATCTTACATGAGAGATTGAGAGATACAGCTTAACCCATAATGGATAACCATGGCAACAGTTTTCATTTGGAAGAAATTCCAGATCTCTTCTAAGAAAGATGATGCCATGATCAGTATCAGAATGCCAAGAATCATTGTGCACAAATCCAGGGTGGGGTGATCTCATTTTACAAATCATGATTGCACACTTTGGTTGCATCTCACGCATCTAACGGAATAATATCCCTACTTCTATTCGCCTTCTCTCTAAAATAGCATGTTGTAAAATATATCAGTTATACATTTTCCTTACTAGTTCTACTATTTTCCACTCTATTTTTGATTTTAAAACTTGAGCTGAACACCATGTTATCTTCTCAGGGGTAATGTTGGTAAACATTGAGTTAATCTAATTAGCACAACCTATAGATGAACTAAAGCTTTGTTAGACTGTTTGTTATTTGGTTTGTAATCAGTGCATCCTATTTCATAACAAAATGCCAGAAATATACAATGGGTATATACTTGTCCATGATGTAATTGTGATAACACATCGGGTGCACCAACTATAGCAGACTTTCAGCTTAATTTCTAGCCAATTGCTTCATATATCTGTAATTCTGTGAGTGACTCTTTAACTCTCGGGATAAACAGATTCTCTTTTGTTACATTTTAGGGAAACATCATCTCTAACGGTAGCCTTGTATCAAATCTCTTGGGGCCATTAACAAGACAATATTGATTCTCATTTCATCTACTACAGTACCAGGCCCATAGCCAGGGGGCAGAGGGAGCAGCCCCTGGCCAGAAATTCTTTCAAATCATGCAGTTTTTCACCAATCTGAGCACTTTTCGCATGATTTTTTGCCAAAAACTGTCAAAAAGCTCCCTCCCCTTGGCAAAAGCTCCCCTTGGTAAAATCGCTCCCCCCAAGTTAATCCTGGCTACGGGCCCAAGTACATATCCTTGCATTTTTCAATATATCTCAAGTACTTGACAACAAATATTAAAATGTTACTTTAAAATGAATGTCTGAACTTTATGATTTATAAATAACCTATTTATTTGACAATTAACCTCATAAGATAGATTAAAAAGTGATTTATTGGTTGACATATTTGAAGATGTGGTGTCAGAAGATACCTTTATAAAGATCACCTCTTGAGTTAAACTTTCCTATCACCCTGCACACAGAGTCAAGTTATAAACTTCTGAAGAGGAAGCTCTCTTTTAAGAAGCGAAGTCGAATTTATGCAAAGGGTATTTTTATACTAGCACTAGAAAAAATTAAACATTAAGGTGTAACTGTAAATATGAACCTAGCTCCAAAAACAGATTGGAGGTATCAAAGAGTATAGCAGGGGTAGAGTTCAAGGATGTAATACAAGACCAAAATTGATTTTTCCTAGTTAAAACACTTGTCAATTCCCACTATCTATTTCCCTTGTTATAAGTATCAGGTGGACAATAGGGTAACAAAGAGAAATAACAGAGAACTAGATTTTTCCATTATGGTACCAAACGCATTCTCTAGAATTCCCTAGAACTTTGCTCTTCAAAACGAGACTCTGGTAAATCAGAATGAAATTTTCCTCTTCTCTAGCTCTAAGTACTAACATTTTGCAAGGAAAATACGAGTTATTGTTGATAGAAGTTCAGACAGGATATTGAGATATTCTCAACTTCAGTCAATCATGTCGAACATTCCCATCCGATTATCTACATTTTACTCTATTTCTCGATAAAATTTGAATGAACTATTTCATTTTCTGGCAATTTTTTACAATTTGGAATATCAACTTTATTTGTAGCTATTTTATTCCTTGCTGATTCCACTCTATCTTATCTTAATTTCGATTTCAAAACACGACCTTTTTGTGATTTTTCTGTTGGGTTTCAACCATTCATGCAATTATAATTCAACTTGTAGCCAATCATGTGTGAAATGAAATGAAATGTGCAGTCACCAACAAGAGATTATTCTAGTAATTTCCCCAACAAGAAATAACAAAATAATCGCAAAATTTCCATCGTCACTGTAAAATATTGAAGAAATAGCCAGAAATTCATGAATGCTAAACAAATTCAGGGATTCATGAAATATATTTATTCGAAAAAAAGAACACCAACATGTCTAATAGGGTATTTTTTGAAAGGGATTTACCATCAATGATGTGCATGCACTGCACCGTGTAATGTTACCATGGTTGCTATAGTGACAGGTATAAACATACTTGATAGGAGTAGGTCTCATGAAGAGCTTGCTTGCGATTAATGAGTCGAAAAAGTTCATCAAATAAGGAATCATAAATGTAGTAAATGACGTGGATGCGATAGTCTTCTCCTAATATTCATTCATACTTGTTTGATTGTTTGCTTAGCTTGTTTGTTGTTTGGTTAAGCCAAAGGATGCCACATTGAAGTAGCTTCCCAGATATCAGATTCAACATCAATTTGGCTCCTTAAGGAGCAATGTTCTCTTAATTGTATCTCCTCAACATCTAAAGAAATGTTCTTTGATCCCACCCGTAATCATCTGGCAGGTCTAGCGTAATATGAAATTCATACTTAAATTAATTTAACATCTAATTGACAAATATTATTCTTCAGCTTGATTACATGACAAATTGCTTGCATAACACTCTGTAAGCCGTACAATCAAAAAGTAAAAACCATAGCAACATATCAATCAGATTCCCCGCCATGTATGGATAAGTCTACACCAAAAAATAGATTGCCTGACACTCACATACATAATCAACACATTTTCCGAGATGAAAAGGGAAAAAATATAAAGATGATATTATTATATCACTAAAGCTCATTTCTTGGTTATGATTTCTTCTCAAGGGCAGAGTCATCAGCGACAAGTTAGCTATGATGTTATGATGGTAACCATGGTAACTAATATAAACAGTATCAGTTCTTCCAGGTATCTTGGAATGAGTCTCTAAGACTGATTGATACTTGATTCGTGATACACAGCAGTAGATTGCTTTATAATAACAGTTCAACTTGTAGCAGTACTTGAACAGATTTTTTGATGTTTTTCATAACTTCGCACTATTGAATATTTAACCGAAAATGTGAAACGGGAAAGAGGAGGATTATACAACACAAGAAAAGGAAATGTAAAACGACTATTTAGTTGTAAGGAAAACAAACCCTGAAATATCAAACAAAGTCAAACACTCCCTCCCACTATTCAAGAATCTTTGAAATCTCCCGAAATATCAAAAACACACAAACAGACACTATCATTCAATATAAAATGAAAATAGATGAAACGCCAGACAAGAAACCATCTCCAAGCTGAGGTCCGACAAGTCCATAAGTCTTGGCGTGTCCATTGCTGATCTCTATATCTTGGATAATGATAGATAGTTGTTCATCAGGAAGACTTGCCTATTTAGCTGTCATATTGATGGAGTAGAATGTTAGAACAAAAGTCTACTTTAATCGATTTCCTTTTAGATAAATACATAATTGACTATTTAAATAATTACGAGTATTGAAGGTGAGATGATAAGCACAATAATCAAACGATATTAATCTCCCGATTGTTAAATGCCTTGTTGTAGTTCATTGATTCTAACCGATTTCATAAAAAGTTTCATTCATTCATTTTTACTACCAGATAATGAACGGGGAGATAAAGAGATAGACGAGGTACTTGATACTTCAACAAGGGGAAGCAGAGCTAGAGAGTGACCATCAGTGAGAAATACAAGGGCTCATTTTAATTCATGAAGATTTGATAATTTAGATTCAACATCTGATATATCGAATGATCGATTCCAAGCCCTGGAGCAACTGGGCGCAATCATCAGGTGCAGCAACCTTGAACCCAGTTTGATAGTCTCACACTATGTGTACTTTGAACAACAGTCTTGCATCAAGCCCAACTAATAATAAAAATATCTACGAAAGGGTAAAAAATTGTTGATGCGAGACATAAACTTGGATCTTTTGTATTTTGATCACGTTTGAATAAATTATAGAGTGACTTAGAAATATGAGCTCCAGGTCATAATGTTCATCCAAGTCATAATGAAATTCCCAGGGAGAACATTGTTTACCAGGAGTCCGTTTTTGTACCGTTCGTAGTAACGAACGTTCGCAATTCGTAAATTCGTAAATATTTAAAAAGTTACGAATGAGTTACGAATTCGTAAAGTTGCGAATGGATCATTTTTGTACGCTTTCGTAAGTCATTCGTAACTTTCCAATTGTTTAGAGTAAGATTTACGAATAGGTTGACGTCATATTCCACAGTTGTCAGGACAGATAGTACAACAAACAGGGTTGATCAAAATAATAAAACCAAAGTCATACAATAAGAACTTTATAAAAATAAAGATTCCATGAAAAGTACTAAAATAGATATAGAAATAGGTTGATAATACGTTGATAACGGTGTTGCCCTTTGTGTTCTCTGATTTAGAATGACAAAACGTCACAAATCACAATATAAATGAATAAATAAGAGGCCGTTCGCAAAGTTACGAAAGGGTCAGAGGTGGTATTAAATCTACGAACGAAAACAAGCATGACGTCACTATTTTCGTAAATTTACGAATCGTTCGTAACTTTACGAATCTTACGAAAATGCAACTTTGCGAAATTCGCAAATAAAACAATGGACTTACGAACGTTTGTTACTACGAACGGTACAAAAACGGGGCCCAGAACTATTATCTGTGTGTCAAAGTGTCTAACAACAACGATAATTATTCCTAATCGAGAAAATTATTATAATAACTAATTTAACTGTGTCCGAGTTCCACAAATTTTTCATCTGCCATGACAAATCACCATGCTCTCTGCTTGACCTCAAACTGAACTGTAATCAATGAATTGATTAACAATTTATAACCAACAAACCAACCAACAAAAGTTAATTTTAAAAATTCACGAATTAAAAATGTTTTACCATACAAATTTGGTGTCAACCAATTCATAGACTCGTGTTAAAAACTGTTTTCAATTTCATAACCCAAATGTAGAGTTGACCTTTTTGAACTGTATATGGTTTCTTTCAAGATATATTTTGGACTTTGGCAAACCATGTATAAACAACACAAATTCCCCCTTGCGTCAACTCAAAACCTGCCATAAAGATGTCAATGTCATACATTACAGGATTAAGCCTGTATCTCAAAATAAGTATCATTGAGACTTTCCAAAAGGGTGACTTTTTATAAGCTTCAAATATAAGTAAAAACAGGAAATCAGCCTGACATGAAACAACTTAGGGCTTAACATTTCAATGTTCAAGCACGTTTGACAGGGCATATAATTAATAATATTTTCACGATTCAATTAAAATGAATACAACTGAATATAAAGTTACAGGCAATATTGAATATTGAATGAACTTTACTTTGAATGGTTATAAACCAGCCATGTTTTTCATTTATTGACACAAAGCTGTAATTTATCCACTTACATGTCAACTGTAGGACTGTAATTTGAAAGCATAAATAAAAACAACAAATTACATGTACAGTGAAACCTGTGTATATGTTGAACACATTTGGTACATCAAAATAGTGTTACACCTTGGAGGTCAAAATGATTAAGTTCATTTTTCATATTAGTAGTTGGGTAACAGGACACGAGAAACAGTGTTCCACTTATCAAAGTATTCCACTTATTAAAGTGTTCCACTTTACAGGTTCCACTGCATGCTTTGAACCAAGAGATAAATTATCAAAAAATAGAATCACATTATATTATAATCAGTTTTGTGAAAATACGATTAGCTGTACAATTTGGTAGTCTTGCATCAAGCAATAATGCACCCCTCCCCCTTTAACTTGTTACATTTCCAACCATTTATAGCTATATGGGTGGATCAGAGGTTTGAAGCAAGACTATATTTTTGTTATTCCTTTAGTTAGAAAAACAAGAGATGTTTACCTGTCCACGTTCTTTGTCAACTTTACGGAAACATTTGTTGAGTGAGAGATTGTGTCGCACAGAATTCCTCCATCCGGTTGGCGCGTTTTGGAAGTATGGGAAATGATTTAGGATCCATGCATAGATCTCTTTAACTGGTAGTCTTTTCTGGGGTGAGTCCTCTATGGCCATGAATATAAGACAGCTGAATGAGTAGGGAGGTTTGGAGTTGACGTGCTTCTGAGGGTTGTATGGGATATTTGGGGGATGTGCACTTGTGGCATATCCGCCATTTTCTAATTTAATCTCTCCATTTTCTTTTTGAGTTTCATCGGAAGTCTCTAACTCTTCTCCCGCACGTAAATCCTTCAATAAATCCCCAGATTTTAACCAATCAAGACTCGTTAAATCATCGTCATCAGAATCTAGTTTTTCCAGGCGTATTTCCGCAAAACAACTTGAGCTTAAAGGGTCTTCAATGACCTCACCCTCGTCCGTGATCTCCATACAGCTTAGAGCTTTAGAGAGTGCACTCCCGGGAAAGCTGGCACTTAAACTATGTACGAGTCTCTGTCTCATTGACTGATCACTCTCGTCGCACTGCACCGCAGTCTGCATGGGCGCCATGACTACCATCTAGACTGTTTTCCTGAAATGCACAAAGAAGTAAGATTAAACGAAAGGCATTTATAAATATATACATGTCAAAGAATCTGCAAAATGCAACATAGTCCTGAAATTGTTCTCTCTTATATCTTATGTCTCTGGAAAACAATGTAAACATTTTTAAAAATCATAAAATATAAAAGTATTAATATATATATTCAAAGCAGACCTTTTATATCAATAGATTCAAATATATTTTGAATTCAAACATCAAAATATAACTGTAGACAGACAATGTATTACTCATGCATTAAAAATTCATCTAGTTACTGATTTGACAAACTAGACTATATGATCTAACATTTTCAGCTGTTGTCATAGAGACGCATCCTAACGAGAGTATAGACCTAACAACTGTGATGTTAAAAAACATATGTAGCCTAATTAACATAGTTCAATCTAACTATACCACTGTGATCCATCTGCTTCATCCCAAACAGTTTGTCTAATTTGTACGTTGAATATGTCCTTGTGAAAAGAGCTGTGAATGGTTCCAGGCCATATGAGTAAAACACATTATTCACACATTCAAGCCAAGATGTTCATATACTCTCTGAATACATAACAGTTAAAATCGTTAACTTTCCTCAACAAACCTGCCTATATAGAATAAGGAAATGCACAAGCGATTTCATCGAAATAGTACTTCATGTTAAACATAGTCCATCCTTTTTTTAGCTATGACAATATGACCCTATTTTCCTAAAACTGTCATCTCTTTAAACAACAACCATTTCACAGTTTGAACTGAACTTTACAATGTAAATACAAAGCTTAGATATAGAGAATGTGAAAATGGAACGCCACATGTCTGTAAACACTTAGCCGGAGCCTCCCGATCATTAGGTTACCATGGCAACTAAGTATGTTCTGTTAATACAAGCAGTAACGTTTCCAAATGAAGCTTCATCTTTGTACTGCAGAAGTTTGGCAAAACAAAATATTCAATTTCTCTACATTTGCTTTAATAAGACATAACTACCTTTTTATCTATCTATCCTCTGGTGCTTTTTAAGTCCTTATAAGTATAAATTCCTGTTGTCTTAGATGTAACTTGTCTTGCGTTTATTAATTGTAGCACTTACTGCATCAAACAATCAAAGTCTCTTTAGTTACTTATTTATAACCAAGCTGTCTGAGGAAGCCACATATCTGTTGAAAGCAACACTTTTACTCAGCACTATCAATACATCTTAGTTTAATATCTCCCTAAGTCTTATTAAGATTAACGGAGATTAAATCATCTAACGGATAGAGACCTTGCCTTATAAGGCTAATTTTCCTGTCATGACGTGTCAAATATTAATCCATTCGACCAAGTGGGTTCCTCTTTTTTTAAATCTCAAACAATCAACATTAGATATATATAACCATGTGATAGAAGTGTTATATGCTGTATTAATAGTGACTTTATAAAGTATCTATCTGTATATGTGAATCTAGTGTGTTCTGTTTGAAGTATCCAACTTCCTTTTCCATTTCCTCGTTTTATATATTCTATATTATTAATGATGTCCTCGTTCTATCATTTCTAATTTTATGAAACAATTGTTTAAACTTTGAAAGAGTCTCTCTGTCATTGAACACTGTGATATAAAACATTAAGATCTGTATTCCAGCATTTTTGCTCCTCACACGTTACTTTGATAAAACTATATGGTCGTAATCCAGGAAGCACTGTCTAAAGTTTAATGAGATCAAGAGATGGTGTTATAAGTGTGATAATTCCCTGTTCATATCCATAACCTGCTAGCCCTACTATATTCATATTCACAAGTTACCACTGCCAACCTGTGCATCAATTTATCAGCTCCACATCTGTTGGAATCTTCCCTTTTCACATCCAGTATAATTCTTGCAAATAACATACTTTTATTTTACCACGCAAGTACATTACAAACATTCATAAAACCTCATTTAAGTCAGAAAACTAATATCTCATTGATATTAAATTTTAATACTAGACATTCCAATGGGTGTATCCTTTTGAAAAGGTGAAATTAAATTTGAGGTTTTCTTTTCAGAAAGGGTTGGTGATTTTAATCAAGGAGCCTGATACTGTACGGATCAGATACTGTACGCTGGCAGATGGTCCTATTGTAGCCTCTTTCTCAACTATCACATGATCAAGCCATCGCTATAGTTACTCATTTATTACTAATTATCATGAGACCTAGAACTTCGGCAATTCAAGGCAATCTACTTTCTTTCCATCTAAATCAATAGTCAGAAGACATACTCGAAAACGAAAATGACTTCTTTAGAGTATTACACACCTCGATATAACGTTTGCTTATTTCTCAGTTTTTCGTTTTATCAAATAAACCAAACTGCAAGAAATGCTGAAACTTTGTTTCATATGATTTAATAGCTCATCATAGTCTTTCCAGAGAAAAATATCACTTGTTACAAATCTGTATTTATCTCCTAAACATAATGGCTCGAACTAGACACGATAATTAGGTAATATAATAGCAAATCATCTGTAGTGAAACAATATAGTGTAGATATCACTATGATACACAAGGTCATGAATTTTTAATGATGTTTGCTCTGAGTTTCAGTTTGTAATATGAGAGACGGTTTATAACTAAACACACATTGGAAAACAACAAACAAAAAGTATATGGTGTCACTTATCTCTGGAGTCAGTTTATAACAACATGTGTGTGTTGGCAAAGAAGTTCATCCCAAACTTTCAGGAATGGGAGACTATGTAAAATATACACTGTGTTTAGTATACATGACCTAGACACAAAAATATGTAAAAAAATATTCATATTAAAAAAGTACCTTTTCACACGGCCTTATAAATCTATTAACTATATCTCGATATATCAAATATCTTCTTCAATAGATAAAACTTAAACCATATAAATGGTTTGAGTAATTTTTCAAACAATCTTACAAATCAGTAAAAATGACAAAAATAATTACTATTTTCAAGCTATTAATTTTAATTGCACAAAACTGTAAGATATACCTGCTCATATTCCGTTGACATTTTGACATTTTTGGTGAATTGAGCATATTTTTTAAGTAAACATGTCACAAACATCCCCTTTTTTCAAATACATGGACACTTTGATCAATCAATTAACTAGTAGAAACCAAATAGGGACTTTTACTCATTTTTTCATTCTAAAATGATTCTTTTCAAGCTTCTGATTATTCAGATGTCAGGTTTAACATGACAGTGAACATCTTGATTGAAAATAAGTTTCGTGTTACAAAAATGGATTTTTTCAATACCTAAACCAGCTTTATAACTTTAAGCATTTACTTACCAAAATATTAAGTAATCACTTTTCAACCATCATTCATTTCAGATTCCATTTTAGATGATTTAAAGACTATCCAAAATTATGCACGTTTGTGAGATGAACAAACACAGGCATATGTGACTCCACTTGCAAAATCCAAGTCACAAGTGCGTCATAAAACTGAAATGTTTTTTTCAACCCAGCCTTTGAATAAACAAGTAGATATTAAAAAGCAAAAACGCTACCTTAGTGATTTATGATAAAAGTTCAAAATCCGTTAAAAATACTTGATCTTTGTCCGCTCCTCTTAGTTTTACACTTTCACACATTTTCAAACACTCATGTACAAAATATACATAATGTACATACATGAAAGTTACTAAAATTACAAGCAAAACTCAAGATGTTATTTTAGAATATAGAATACAGCGAGATGTCGCCTATTATAAGTAATTTACTGCACGACCCTGTGTAACACAACCATAAAACACATTTTCTTAAAACTGAAATATCATGAGTTAAAAACATTTATAAACCTACCTTCAACACGTAAACCAGTATGAAGTAATTCTTATTTCAAATAGATGTTTATAATAATCCAGTGTTTTTAAAACTGCCAAATGTGTATCCAACACCAAACCGAGTCCAAATATAATATCTGACCTCTAGATATGCATGTATTCATATGTGTTCACAACTGCTAAAATGACCAACCAGGGTCAAGAGAAGCCTAATATGCCCCCTAACAAGAAGAAAAGTGTCCCATATAACAATGGTCATCAAATGGTCTGCGACTAAATTACATTTATCAACTTCAGTTGAACCCTTTCACAAAGGTCACATATTTAACTCTAATGAAAGAAATAAAATAAATAGCAATATGAAAATAATTCACAAAATAGCATTCACTAAATAAAACAGAAATCAAAAGAAACTCAGATATTTTTCATATTTCCTCAAAGTGTGATACATACCTGGCTCCCAGTAATAAATATAAAATACAAGTACACAGTCTAATGTGGAGATGTGAAGGCGTCAACTTTTCCAAAGGGTCAACTGGAAACATTATAGATTTCCAAGATGACCAGCTGAAACTGACTTGTAATGTTGATTGGATTAGCTACTAAGACAGCTTGATACACAATGGATTCTATTATCCAATTATTCTATTATACGATTGTAGTCTCAGTGGTCAATCAACAATACTTCCTAGTCTTAATTATTAGTGATCTTACACATGTACATGTTTAACCATCTGGGACACTTTGATTGAAATCAACATGATACAAACACAAACAATTAAACTCATAATCAAATCAACGGTCTTGCTATGCTATGTGCCAGGCCCCAAGCCAGGGGGAAGGGCGTTCAGGGGGTTTGGCAAAAACTTTTTCAAAATCATGGAGTTTTTCATCATTCTGAACACCTTCCAAGTGAATTTGACCAATTTTTTGCCAGAATTGTCAAAAGTGAACAACCCCTTAAAAGTGCACCCCCCCCCTCTTTGGCAAAAGCCAGAATTGTCAAAAGGGAACAACCCCTAAAAAAAGTGCCCCCCCCCCCTCTTTGGCAAAAGCCAGAATTGTCAAAAGGGAACAACCCCTAAAAAGTGCCCCCCCCCCTCTTTGGCAAAAGCCAGAATTGTCAAAAGGGAACAACCCCTAAAAAGTGACCCCCCTTGGCAAAAGCCAGAATTGTCAAAAGGGAACAACCCCTAAAAAGTGACCCCCCTTGGCAAAAGCTGGCTATGGGCCTGGATGCCATGATAAACTATGTCATCTATCATAGTGAGCCATTCCATTATTAAAGGCAACTCATCACATTTTTTTATTTTGCGACTTGCTAGCATTATGAAACATATCTAATAGAAGGTGCATATCCCTCTCATTGCCAAATTCGAAAATACCTTGGCCAAGTCAAAATTAGATCGCCTTCTCAAAATTTCTCATGTCTTAAATCAAGCTAGCTTAGAAAGTACTGTATTTCAGAAATTTTGTACTTTGAGTATTTTATCCAGTAAACAACTGAGCCTCTTTCCTTCTACCCTAAATACATGATAGTGTTTGGAATAATTAATTATTCATAAGATGATGTAAGAACTATTTAATTATATTATATTACATACCAATACTTACTTCTCTTGACATTAGATGTAATTATCCAAATTACTTAATAATAAAAACATCCAAAAATGACCTGAAAAAATGACGAACTTTGCTGCTTACATTATGATACACTCTCAAAACCTGTAAAACTGATTTTACAGACACGTAATGTATATAGACATTAATGATACAACTCCTCTATGAGTTATGGCCTATGTGAGTTTGTATATATGTTACCATAGCAACCAGTAACATATCATCTCCCACTGATAGAATGAACTAATGAAGGCTATAGTATAAGCAATCTTGCGGCTTCTGGCAAATTATTAGAATTACACATTTTAAGCATTCTGTTTCCGATTACAAATGACAGGGATGAAATCGTCATAGAAATTAAGTGAGCATTATGCCATTAGGAAGCAATATTCATTATCATCCATAAGAAGTCATTATCTTCTAAATATAATATTTCGGCAGTATTCCCATATCGACTAGACACTGGTTGTCTCTTTCATTAGTGGTCGGACTCGCCTGAAAATCTCCACTCGAGTGGGCTATGAAAAACCACGATTATAATCGCGATTTGACTTAGTTGAGTTACTTCCGGTTTCAGTTTCTGAAGTAGCGGCAGAATTCATCAATTTGATCAAGTCTTTCAAGTGCCTCTATACTTTTTATTGTCTAAATCGTATTGCACATCCCTATAGATCGTTAAAATTCACCCCTAGTCCCCTATAGATAGTAAAACTTACCGAATAAATAGTGAAAACAAACTTCGTCAATCCAGAAAGTTCCAGGATGCACTGCGGTAGACAAATATTTTAAAATTCCCGGCTGTTGGATATTCCCAGAATGCATCAAACCGGAAATGAAACTTTTGCATAAAAATAACGAACGCAGAATAAAATCCAAGTATGTTTGTCTTCCGCACATGGCATTAAATAGAAAATAAGTTGTTTTCTATACAGATTAAGCAGAACATTACAACTATAAGCATGGAAATTGCGAATAGGAGAGACGAATCGCGAGTCAAGGTAAGGTGAAAACGAGTGAAAAATAATTTTTGGTAAACATTTCAAATCGCGAGTTCAAGTTTTCAACTCGATCAATTGATTTTTAGGACAAATGCGAGTAAAACTCGAGTACACGAGTCAGTCTTCCAACCACTATCTTTCATATGTGTTTTTATTATCAATTAAATACCCCAATCAAGGTACAAGAAATCAATTAAATCTAATTGGAATATAACATTTTTTTAATTCCATATGGTATAAATGTATGAATTGAATACCATTAAGTTCCCAATTCTCTATAAAATGTATCGTTTTCTATGCGTATGAACTATCTGATTTTTTTGCATTTGAATGCAATCAAAGTATCAACTTCAAACCTGGTTACTTTACTCCTTACTAATTCCACTCCTTTTCATTTCATTCCATAATAAACCAGATCAAAATCTACCAATTTTACATATTGGCCAATTTTATAATATATCTACCAGATGATACCAGATGATATGAGATACAAATAATTTTCTGTTTACAGATAACAAATAGAATATTGTTTTTTCAGCAATAAATATTAATGATTTTATAAACCCGTAAAGATAAAATTACCTTTTTTCATAATTATGAAAGAAAAACATATTTTCTGGCGTTTCCATGTTCATGTAATTTAAAGATGTGAAAACATGTATTTGTTTACTTTATTCCTTGTTGATTTCATTCTTTATCGCTCTATTTTGTATTTCAAAATATGACATTTGGATATTTTTCTCAGGGGAATTTACGTATGTACGTATATATTGTCTCTACATACACTGACTAATAGCAACATGAATATATACAAACCATGAAGTACAGTTTATAGTACATGTATTTTGAATTTCATTTTCAAATCAATTTATTTCTATAGAAAGAATTTGTTTCACTTTGAATAATCTAAAAAGATAATAGTCCTCTCACGCCATGCAGCATAAATAGACAGTTCTACCTTCTTTGTAAATATACAGAGACCAGTTATTCTTGAAAAAATGTACTGAAATAACCCTAAACCCCAATAAACACACAAAAACAAATCGCAAACTTAACACTCAAATAAACCACACAGGTGGTACAAGTGTCCACTGTTTGGAAGATACAAACGTGTCAAAAGAAACTAAACAGTATAAACATGCAGGTCTTTTTGATATAATGATAAGGCAAAACAGAAGTAACATAAACAGATATATATCAAAAACATATTGTTCTGTTTGTTTATAAACCCATAAAAGAAGAAGTTTCTGATATTTGAAAAACTCAGAAATGCTTCTTACCTCTGAAGATCATATTAACAAAACCCCTTGCCCCTAATTCTTTCGCTAGAGTGAATAATAAAATTTAGTTTGAGAATCGTTAGTTATGATGGTTTCCTAAAAAGGCAAAGTGACATTCTAAAATGTGACCATTTGCCAAGTTTATCAGACATATAATTTTATTTCATTTTATATAATTATTGTAACACAGGACAGACCAAACCCTGTGTGGCTCTATAGTGCAGACGTTTCATTAGCAGTAGATATGAATAGACTATAGGAGCTAGGAGATTTTGAATGTTGCTTTGACTAATTGTTATTTTTAGGATAGGTCAACCCCCCCCCCGTCATGGATTCTTCACTCCCAATACCAATACAGATTTTTGCTTATTTTAATGGTTTTTGCTTGTAGTGACTTCAAATTCTATACCCAAGCATCTAAAAATAATGGTTCTAAGAAGTCCTTTGCTACAAATATCTTACCCTGTTCAATCATTTGATTTAGCTTCTTTAAAATAATATATCATCTACTACATGCAACTGTAACTACCCTCAGGGTACCTGTCACATGACATGTCTTAAACAGTGCTATACTACATAATGTAAAACATATACATGTACAGTGATACTCCCCTGTTTATTCTCTCCATATATCCTACCTGTAACATACTGTACATGACAGTGTCAACGAACATACTATATCAATTTATAAATGTCACACTGTCAACTTAACTTTACCTGAGGTAGAATGTGTCAACTTCTCCTTGTATCTAGTTAGTGCTTACTCAAGCCAGGGATTACATTCGTAATTAGTAGCCATTTTTCAAAATGGCTGACAGAGATATGATAGCATCATGTTGCCAAGTGAAGGTACACATATCGCTACAGTGACATTGATACCTGGGATTATAATATCATTCTGAATGACAATTTCTCGCTAAAATTAACAGTAATTGTCTCAATGTGTTGTGTTCTAATTAGCAATAGATAGTGAATCCGATACAT